GAATTACAGAGAGGTGAGGGAAGAAAACGAAAGAAAGAGAGAGAGAGGGGGGGGGAAGAAAACGAAAAAAGAAAGAAAGAGATGGGGAGAGAGAAAGAAAAAAGAAAGAGAGAAAGGGAAGAAAACGAAAGAAAGAAAGAGAGAGAAGGGGAAGAAAACGAAATAAAGAAAGAAAGAAAGAAAAAAAGAAAGAGAGAGAAAGCAAGAGAGAGAAAGCAAGAGAGAGAAAGCAAGAGAGAGAAAGCAAGAGAGAGAGAGAGAGAGTGAGTGTGAGAGAGAGAGTGAGTGTGTGAGAGAGAGAGAGAGAGATTTAGCATTAAAAAAATGATTTGAGAATTTTATTCAATTTCAGTCAATTATTTTTTTGTGTGGCAACTTGGACCGGTTTTAGCTCTAACAATAAGTTAATAAGTTTAATACTTTTACACCCCATTGTTATTATTATTATACATCTTAAATATTCTTAATTAGAATTATATATACTCTTATTTAATATGCTTAGTTTTAGCATTAAAAACAAATTTAAGAATGTCAGTCTATTTTAGTCAATTATTATTTGTGGGGCAAGTTGTACCAGTGTTAGCTTCAAGTTAAAAATTTATGCATTTTTAAACCCCATTATTGTTATTATATATTTTAAATATGCTCAATTAATTATTGTTACCGTATTAAAAGTTTCCTCGAATAATGAAAATACGTATTTAAAAATTGTCTCGTAATACAGGAAACAGGGTCGTTTTATTGTATACAGTACTGATAGTTTCATATGCCTATGAATGTATTTATTAGCGTGAATGTTGTAGTGTGAAAGAAGGCGGAATATTGAGCACCTCAATTACGAAGTTATATAGTATATCTAAAGGTGTCCAGCCAGTTCCGCCTTGACAGGAGCGAAATACCTATACTAACAAAATAGCAAACTTGGCACAGAATAAGAAAGACTATTTTTTCCTTCTTGAATTCTCCTTTCCTAGACGGCATTATTCAAAGCTAATGTTTTTTAACAATAGCTATTTTCCATTCTAACAAAATATTAGCATTGCTAATTGAATGAATTGAATTTGTCGGACAGTTGGAGACTTTTATTCAACGCAGTATTCCTCTTAAGAATTGAAATGATAAATATTTAAAAAAAACAGAATCAAATATCTATGTAATTAAGTTGAATAGTTTGAAAAATAGATAAAAAGTTTTAAAACGATTTAACAACCGCGACTTTCTATTAACTCACGTTAGCATGCGATTCCCCTTGTTAAATTGTTAAAATTGAATTTATTTTTTTACTTACCGCCATTTCATGGAGAAGATTATCCACTGGTATCACATCGCGTGTTTTAAACTATTTAATTGTCGGTTGAGAGATTGTCTGTTACATGTTTGACGCGAGCACGACTGTGCCAAAATGAGGCCCCACCGCTTCAGTGTTTTCTTAACACTGTTTACCGTATAAATAGTCATGCCGTCAGTAAAGAGCCAAGCCGTTATTTACATGTTTACGTCCTTTCTTACTGTTTAATAATTATGAGTCTCAAACTTGTCCAACATCATCTACGTATTCCAGAAAAATAAAACATTAAAACTTATTATTTCAATAAATTAGTCAAAAAAATTTTGAATCCTAAAATATTTATTATACAAATAAAAATTCGTGTTTTGGGCAAATACAAATATTTCCCGCTTCTTTTTTTCTTATCATATTATAGAATAAATACTATAAAATTGAAAATTGAATTTAGAGTAGTAAATTTAAGCGATAAAAGGTCAATGTGCCCACTTTTTCGACGTGTTTAATGACAAGTGTCATCAGATTTGTATAAGGCAAAGATTTTTTTAATCAATTATTATTCAATGATCAATGTTCACTACTTTTATGCTTGCCTTGTTTTAATATTAAGAAAAAACATTTACTGTTTTGAACTTTATTTTTTTTTTTTTGTAGTAAGTTGTCCGTTTTGCGCATGTATACAAAAAAGTTGACGTTTTCAACTAATTTTTTTGTGTGAAAATGTTGACCAGTCAGCATCAAGATAAAAAGGTTGAGTGTATCAAACTATGCATTAGGTTTGTTTGTACTTAGAAAAAATAAGTTCAGTGTTCAAACTATCACTTGTTCCGTCGTTTTAGCATGAAGTAAAGAAAAAAAATCAATGTCCAACCTACTTTTGTAGAGGTATGCTTTACTTCTTTTAATATTAAGAAAAAACGTTTACTGTTTTGAACTACGAGCTTTTAATTGTTTTGTAGTAAGTTGTCCATTTTGAGCATGTGTACAAAAAAGTTCACTTTTTCAATTAATTTTTTTTGTGTGAAAATTATGACCAGTCAGCGTAAGGGCAAAAGGATTTAGTGTATCAAACTAAGCATTAAGTTTGTTTGTACTGAGAAAAAATAAGTTCAGTGTTCAAACTATCACTTTTTTCCGTAGTTTTAGCATGAAGTAAAGAAAAAAACCAATGTCCAACCTTCTTTCGTGGGGGTGTTTGCCTTCTTTTAATATTAAGAAAAAACGTTTACTGTTTTGAATACGAGCTTTTAATTTTTTTGTAGTAAGTTGTCCGTTTTGCGCATGTATATAAAAAAAGTTCACGTTTTCAACTAATTTTTTTGTGTGAAAATGTTGACCAGTCAGCATCAGGATAAAAAGGTTTAGTGTATCAAACTATGCATTAGGTTTGTTTGTACTGAGAAAAAATAAGTTCAGTGTTCAAACTATCACTTTTTCCCGTCGTTTTAGCATGAAGTAAAGAAAAAAAAATCAATGTCCAACCTACTTTTGTGGGGGTATGCTTGCCTTCTTTTAATATTAAGAAAAAACGTTTACTGTTTTGAACTACGAGCTTTTAATTGTTTTGTAGTAAGTTATCCATTTTGAGCATGTGTACAAAAAAGTTCACTTTTTCAACTAAGTTTTTGTGTGTGAAAATTATGACAGTCAGCATAAGGGCAAAAGGATTTAGTGTATCAAACTAAGCATTATGTTTGCATTAGGTTAAGTAGGTGAAGTAAAGAAAAAAAAAGTTTGAAATTGTCAGTTTTTTTGTGGTAAGTTTGTCCTGTTTAAGCTTCAAGAAAAGTATTCATTGTTTCTGTAAATTTTGTGTGTCTGTGTTTGTTTGTTATAGTAGTAACATTAAGGAACAACAAGGCCATACAACACTAAGGAAAAATTAATTATTCTTTTTATATAAGGTCTTGGTTGAAATGAAAAAGTTAGTGTCACGAACGGGATTCGAACCCAAGACCTTCCGCTTCTCATCTCAACCAAGACCTTATATAAAAAGAATAATTAATTGAAATAAGTAATTAGGTAAATTAGAACACTAAACATAAATGATTTAAGGAAAAGTTCCAAATCTTCGTGTTTTTTATATATAAGCTGAAAACAAAACGTTATTGAATATAATTAAAACTTTACATATTTCGTCTTTCTTTTTTCTTATCATTTTATACAGCAAAGATTGGAAAATTCAATTAAGAATTTATTTTGGCAAATTTTTGATTTTTTCTTTGACTGATAAAAGGTCGATGTAAGACACTTTTCGTCCTGTTGAGTGACAAGTGTCATCAGTTTTGTATAAAGCAAAAAAATACATGTTTTTAAACCAATTATTTAGTTCGTTATTTTATTTGCTTTAGCATTAAGCAGTTCAGTGTTTGAAGTAATACTTTTTGATGGTAAAATTTACCACTTTCAGGATTAGGAAAAAAAAAGTTCAATGATTTATTATTTATGATATGTTAGTTTTTATCGTAATTTCGAACTGTTTTAGCATGAAGTAAAAAGAAGTTGAATGTTTCCAACTATTTTTTTTGTCGTAATTTTGAATTATTTTAGCAGGAGGCAAGAAAAAAATGGTGTTTCAAACTATTTATTTTTTGTTATTTTAGCATTCAAAAAAGACAAGTGCAGTGTTCAAACTATTACTTTTTGGTGGCAAGCTCGTACTATTTTAGAATGATGTAAAAAAAAACCTTCAATGTTTAAAACTGTCAGTATTTTGTGGTAAGGTTGTCCTGTTTTAGCATTGAGAAAAAAAATTCAGTGTTCAAACTATTGCTTTTTTTAGCAAGCTGTCCAGTTTTAGCATGAAAAAAAAACCTTCTGTATTTCAAACTGTCATTTTTTTGTGGTAAGGTTATCCTGCTTGAGTTAGTGAAAAAATGTAAGAGTTCAAAATATCAATTTTTGGGGGTTAAGTTTGCCTTGTTTTAATATTAAGGAAATACGTTAACTGTTTCGAACAATAAATTTGTCTAGTTTTGGCATTAATAAAATAAATGCTCAGGTTGTCAACTAATCATTTTATTGTGGCAATTTTGACCACTCAGCATTAGAAGAAAAAGGTTCAGTGTTTCAAACGAAGCATTAGGTTTTTTTTGTGTGGCAAGATTGTACTGTTTTAGCATTTACGAAAAAATGAGTTCAGCGTTCAAACTATTATTTTTTTTAGCAATCTCTTCTGTTTTAGCATGAAGAAAAAAACCCTCTGTATTTCAAACTGTCGTTTTTTGTGGTAAGGTGTCCTGTCGAGTTAGTGCAAAAAAAATTGAAGAGTTCGAACTATCAAGTTTTTGGGGATAAGTTTGCCTTGTTTTAAATTTAAGGAAATACGCTGTCTATTTCGAACAATAAGTTTGTCCAGTTTTAGCATTGATAAAATAAATGCTCAGATTGTCCACTAATGATTTTATTGTGGCAATTTTGACCACTCAGCATTAGAATAAAAAGGTTCAGTGTTCCAAACGATGCATTAGGTTTTTTTATGGCAAGATTGTATTGTTTTAGCGTTTACGAAAAAAGGAGTTCAGTGTTCAAACTATTACTTTTTTAGGATAATTTTCCTTGTTTTAATTTTAAGAAAAAATATGTTTGGTACAGTTAACTTTTTTTATTTATTTTTAGCAAGTTTTTCCAGTTTTAGAATGAATAGTAATACTTTTTTGCGGCAATTGTTACCAGTCAGCAATAGAAAAAAATATTGAGGGCTTCAAATTATGCATTACTTTTTTGTGGCAAGCTTGTCCTGCAATGGGAAAAAAATAAGTGCAGTGTTCAAACTATTAAACTATACTTTTTTGTGACAAGTGTGTTCTGTTTTAGTGTGAATTAAAAAAAATTACATTGTTTCAAACTGTCAATTTTGTTATGGTTCCAGGAAAAATATTCGGCGTTTCTGCCGATTTTGTGTGCACGTGCTTACGTGTGTTCGTGGAAAGTTATACCAGACTTCAAATTTGGGAAAATAGTTCACTTTGTTAAAACTATTTTTTAGTTTTGACCGGTTTTTGTGTGGCATGTTGGACCAGTTTAACTCTAGGCTATAAAAATCAATACTTTTACACCCCATTATTATTATTATCAAAAAGCTAGAATTGCAGGTGAACAGCGTTTTGAGCTAATATTAAATCAGTGAAATCAGAAATCCATTTTCTTAGCTTTCGGATGAATCAACACCAAAAAGAGCTAAGAAACGTGCAGATAATTTATCTAATTTAAAATTGTAATTTGTTTGGGGAAAAAGAGCCTGAATTATGTTATTCACGTTTTCTCTTTTCGTAATTTTATAATTATATAAATCAGTTTTATTTAAATTTACTACTGGCTATTGCATAAGGAAGTGTTTAGACCAAAAATAGAATTATATGATCTATGCTGTTTCGTTTTCTAATGGTACTAAGAAGATTTTTTGTATTTTGACTGTTTTGATCGAAATTTCAATGAAATATTTGATCAATGTTTCGCAGAATTTTCAGGAGGGAATTTAAATTTAAATCGATAATATTTCTTTTTATAGATCCCGCTTCTGCTATATATTTTGATATACCATGATAGAAAAGTAAATTTATATATTTTATTTTATACCAGAAATTTTTGTAAATTTCTTACCTCTGCTGTGAGATTTGCGTTCAAGTCAAGATTTTTGTTTGCGTCCGCGTATTGCACCCAAAGTTCGGCTGCGTGCGTGTAGCTTTTAACGAGGTCCGTCAGTTCTTCCTGGGTTGACTTCCAGGCTTCTTCTTGGGCTTTGACTTCGGCTCTAAGCTTCTTCCCGACCTCCTCGCTGACGACCTTTTCCAAAGTTTGACCGCTCTCTTTGAGCTCTTCCAAGCTCACTTCGCGCTCACCGAGAGTGTCTTGAACGCCCTGGAAAAAAAAAAGTTATTTTAGTTTACTTACTGCAAGATTTATAAAAGTTTTTCAGATAAGGCAGATTGGTAGAATACGAAACGAGAAGCGTCTGGAGCGAGATTTGAACTTCTATTTTAAGACGTGGAACTTTGTTTGCTATGCTCACGCTTACAAACACTTGAACAAGCCAAGAACACCGAGCTTTTATTTTCTCTGACAAGGATCCTATTTTTACATAATTTGTAAACAACGATGGAAAATTATTGGCTCAACTCTTCCGGTTCAACCCATTTGGTACAAGTTCGTTATGAAAAAGCTGTTCAGTCGGGATAATTTCAACTCACGTACGAAAAACAAAATTCACTATTATACTGAACTTTATTCAAACTAAATATATAAAAAATTTCTGAAGAAGACTATTCTAGAAAAGTAAAAAGTCCTAAAGAACAAGCGGAATGTAGTCCTTCTAAGCTGTTTTATACGACAATGATTCTTTCCGTCATTTGCTCAGATTGGTCTAAAGTGTGTGTTTAAACAGAAAATATATCCTTCTTTTGTCAAAGTTTGTAGTACGAACGTCAAAAGACGGGCGTCGTGAGTCAATAGATAGTATGTATCTTTGAACTATTTTTAAACAGAATTGACTTATCCCAGCTAACCGTCTGAGAATATACCAGAAAGAAACTAATTCCCTTCCAGTTTTACCTACCATACCTCAAACTTTATTTCTCGATAAACTTTATAAAATAGACTTCATTCCTATTCTGTGCCTTCAACCAGCCGATATTTTGAGCCTTACGAGCTGTCCAAAGGTTTGAGACGATAGGTCATTTGTGTTTGTCTTATGAGCTGCCTTACAGAAAAATGAATCATTCAGTCATTTGATACAACTGCCCCTTGATCTAAGATACCAGAAATAAAGCGTCCTTTCGATCCAGTAAATTGATTTGTCAATAAATCGCGCAATTTTATTATAGTCACAGGGTAGTTTTTGAGTCAAGAGGTCACTTGAGTTTTTCTTATGAGCTCTCTTACAGAAAAATGAATCTTTATGTCATTTGATACAATTGCTTTTTGATCTAAGATATCAGAAATAAAGAGTTCTTTCGGTCCAGTAAATTTATTTGCCAATAAATCGCACAAATTTAACTATAGTCATAGGGTAGAATTTTTAAGTCAATAGGTCATTTGTGTTTGTCTTATAAGTTGTCTTACAGAAAAATGAATCTTTGTGTCATTTGATACAACTGATCCTTGGTCTCAGGTATCGGGAGAAAATTATTACGGTTCAGTAAATTATTTGCTGCCAATAAATCGCACAATTTAGACTATGGTCATAGGGTAGATTTTTTGAGTCAAGAGGTCATTTGCGTATGTATTATGAGCTGTCTTACAGAAAAATGAACCTTTCGGTCATTTGGTAAACTGGTCCTTGGTCTAAGGTATCAGAAAAAAATCGTTCGGTCCAGTAAATTTATTTGCCAATAAATCGCACAATATTGACCATAGTCATAGGGTAGATTTTTTGAGTCAATAGGTCATTTGCGTTTGTCTTATGAGCTCTCTTACAGAAAAATGAATCTTTATGTCATTTGATGCAACTGGTCCTTGGTCCAAAGTATCAGAAAAAATTCGTTCGGTCCAGTAAATTTATTTGCCAATAAATCGCACAATATTGACCATAGTCATAGGGTAGATTTTTTCAGTCAATAGGTCATTTGCGTTTGTCTTATGAGCTCTCTTACAGAAAAATGAATCTTTATGTCACTTGATACAACTGGTCCATGGTCTCACGCATCAGAAAAAAATTCTTTCCGTACAGTAAATTTATTTGCCAATAAATCGCACAAATTTAACTATAGTCATAGGGAAGATTTTTTGAGTCAAGGAGTCATTTGTGTTTGTCTTATGATCTGCCTTACTTCTTTCCGCCTTTTTTAAACTTTTTTATTAGATTAATGAATCTGACTATAGTCATATCTGTAAGTCTATAATTCAGTCGGACTTTTTAGACTTATTGACTGTCTTACAGGAGAAAAATGAGCTTTTAATCAATTCGGCCTGTCAATGTGGTATTTCTAAACAGAAAATACATACATTCTTCAGTAGAAAAAAATATAATTATACAAAATTGATCGTAGACGAGAGATCGAAGGATATTTTAAAACAGTTGATTTTGAAGGTTTAAATTAATTTATCTGATGATTGAAAAATTGGAAAACAAGCATTCACAAGTTATTACGGTTAATGTTGCGTATTATTATATAATAGCAATATTAGGTATATTCGAATAAATAAAAAAAAAAAAAAATCATCACGTGCAAAAAACGTGACGGATCCGTCCGACTAAATTTTTAATAAAATTTTGAACTCTGCACCACAAATGTTTTTCTATAAGCTATAAATTTCATCTAAAACTTAAAATATTTTATAGCTCCCATTGGGATTTAGCATGGTATAGGGTACACAATTAAACTGTGAAAAAAAAAAAGGATAAAAGAAACCCAAAGAAACCCAAGGATTGTAGTTTATCTCTATGACAAATCTGGTTTTTAGTTAGCCTAACAGTTTTAAATTTTTTTCTAGCCATTTATTAACAATGCTAAATGACTCTTGTGATTGAGACAATTAAGGAAAAATCAGTAGGATTGATTTCCTTTATCGAGTTTTGAAAGACAGTTGGACATTGGACGCTCGCAGTTCAAACTCATAAAAGATAATCTTTATCTTACATCTTATGATGTTTTCTTTTTGACTCCCGTCCTTTTAGGGACCCACATGACTCACTAATTATAGCGACTCGAACGTGGGGGAGAGGTCTGTTCAAATTAAAACCACTCTACCCTCCAGAAACCGACGCAAATTGTATAAATTGTCTTTATTATTTTGAGAGTTCTAATTTTACTCGTCGGTCTCCCCTTGAGAAAAATTTTCGACAAGAAAACCACCCCGTGCAAAAGAACGTGCCGGTCTTCGGTGGAGAAAAATTTTACCTTTGCGAAAAAAAGAAGAGAGCGACCTGTTGTCCCTACCATTCGTTTTTAAAAACGTAACTTTTAATTTGAACAAAGAAAATTTCCTTTTTCCCCTGTACTTATACATTAAAAAATTGTTCTTTCTTCTTAAATAAAACTAAAACTTTTTATTAAAACATGACTTAATCGTAGATATTTACTAAAATACAATTTGAAAAGAAAAATGGCGAAATTACCTTGAAAACAGAACTGATTGTCTTTCAAACTGATTTTTTGGTTTTTTCGATTAAAACATTTTCACTATGGAAATCTTCACTGGAGAATACGTTATTACAGACCAGTTGAACGACACTAATACGAAAATAGAATGATTCTCAGACGGATAAGGGGGGATCCTGACGATTATACCGAGCTCTACCAGCGTCCCACGTACCAAGGGATAAAACTAATACAATAATACAAAAAAAAAAAAAAAAATCGTCTTCTTTTCAAAATGGAATTCATGCATTTTTATAAAATTCCGAATTCACCGGTCTTTGGAATTTAATTTAATTAAGTTGATAATGGTAGATGTTAAAAATATGACTTTAAATCAAAAAAAGTCTTTAAGAAGAACTCCTCAGAACGAGAACAATAAATAAACAAACATNGGAATTCATACATTTTTTTTTAAAATTACGAATTCACCAGCCTTTGGAATTTGATTTAATTAAGTTGATAAGGGCCGATATTAAAAATAAGACTTTCAATCAAAAAAGTCTTTAAGAAGAATTCCTCAGAACAAGAACAATAAATAAACAAACATTTAACTCAACACTCCATTTTAAGAAAAGTTAATTATGAACTAAGCTAATAAAACATCTTAAATTGAATTTTATAAATACTAAAAAATATGTATTTATTTACGTTAATTTCTTGTTTATAGCTTTCCCTTTAAAATTTCTTTTCATCTTTGTGCTTAATAAGTTTGTAATGTGTGGCATTTTGTACCAACATAATCATAAGAATAATCAAAAACTACAACACAACACTAACACCATCCAATATCACTAATAACTCTACATCAATTCTATCAAACAGACAAACCAAATACGTGCCATTTGTTCATGGCCTATCACATAAATCAGACACATTACTCTCTTCTGATAACTTTAAAATAGCCTTCAAAAACTATAAAAAATATATTCACTCTTTTTTCCAAAATTAAAGATCCTACACCAGGAACAAATAAGTCTGATGTAATTTACAAAATCAATTGTATAAATTGTCCAGCAACTTACATCGGAATTACATCCCAATATCTGTTAAAAGGGTAAAAACATATCTATGATTGCAAAAAAACTAAACAAAATCCTTCAGCACTGGCTATCCACCATTTTGAACACCAACAGAACTTCAATTTCAACAATCCAAAAATATTAAACACAGAACAAAACAAATATAAACGTAACTTTTTAGAAATGGTTTACATCAACAGAGATCAACAGATCATCAGATTGCATCTCACAATCTCTAAATAATAATCTGTAATTACTGTTTGTCATTGTTAAATTATTGCATTCAGTAACTACCCGAGTTATTTTTCTCTATACCCAAATCTTTCCTATTTATCTGTCTTGTAACTGATTTGTTTTAAATAATTTTACTGTTTAGCATAATTACAAATTGAATGGTCTGTCATATACCAAAAATGTTTAAGTAAGATGGCTGCCTAATGTAATTTCAATGTTTCAACAATGAATAGTTTTACTGAATATTTATAAACTGCTTCACATCCTGAACAATGTTTCAATTTCAATATAAAAAAAAAAGAGTATTTTTTAACAATGGCCGTGAACTCAGTTCAGATTAAAATTGCCCAATTTTATTTTAAATTATTACTGATAAAGATAAAATTAGCGAGGCGAACATACTAACAATTGGCAACAATTTGAGTAAATGATTGATATTGTGTAAGTTTATTACAATTTTAAGTTTACCTGTAGTTTATAAAAAATTGAATTGGTATTGAATTATTCACAAATAAATAAAGTTATCTTTTAAATAATTTTTGCTTTGTTATTTATGCTAAGAATAATATACTTGGAAAAGAATATCAATAATAATTTTAAGGTAATTCCTATGATACAGAAAGGCTTATCGTCCTTTTATATTTAATTTCTAATAAAAATTCCAAGAGCTGTGCTGCTATTTAAACGCAGAACCGCATGGCAAATATGAATTGAACGTTACCACTCGGCCACTGAGGTCTTCTAATAATATTTATAGTTGTAAGATTTCTCTATTTGGACTACAGAATGATGATCCACTAATTTGATGATTACTGATCATTTTTAGTCTGCCTATTGTCACTGTGTTGTTCAGACACATTTTGGAATTTTGCTGACAGAACCAACACTGATGATGGCAAAATGCTAAAATGCAATTGACAGACCAATACAGTGAAGTCAGGCAGACCAAAATGTTCAGTAATAATCAAATTACTTATATATGCACATATTTATACAAGAATAGCAACAGTATAAATAGTTTATCGTCACATTAGCTTTTTTTATTTTGCCATTTTATTTAATTTAATGATTACTTCTCACTGTCATCACACCTTTATACAAAAGACAGCCTGGATTTCAAAATCTAACAATATATTATAATAAGCGTTTATAATAAAATAATTGTAAATAATTTGCATTAAATCATTGTTAAATAAATAATATTATTAGGGGACTAGTTGCTGGGTGATTATGGTGCTTGACCCATGGTAACGGTTCTGGATTCAAATCCTGGCAAAGTCCATGGATTTTTAATTGGGAATAATATGAAAAAAAGTAATGTAAAGTGGTTTGTCCCCTCATCTGTGACATCCAATAGGTAGTTGGACTTTAAGCCAGGAATTATCTTGTGTTAAATAGGGTTATTGTTAATTTAATTTAATTTTTTAAAATTAGGTTTCGTGGTCCGCTTGATCTAATAAATTCTTTTCAATTAATTAAGGTTTTTGGTTGAGATAAAAAATGGCAAAAAGGAGGGAAAATTCAAAAGGTGGGTTGAGATGGGAAGTTAGTGTCCGAGTGGATCGAAGTCACGATAGCTCAAGTGGCAGAATAGCTGCATATCAAGCTGAAGGTCATGGGTTCGAATCCCGCTCGTGACACTAGCTTTTTCATTTCAACCAAAAACCTTAATTAATTGAAAAGAAGTTATTGTTAATGTTATTTTTTTATGTTGATAAACTTTCAATAGATATGTGTAATATTTAATTTCAATAGATTTTGCTATTTATAAATGCATTCTATGATTTTTTGAAAGTAAATCTCATATAATGTTTTAGATAATATAAGAATGTAAAATACATAATATGTACTACTTTAAATTTTTTTCAAGATTTGTCACCATGTATTATGTATTATTATTAAATTAAATTATTTAAAAGAACTACTTTTATATTTATTTATCCAAAAAATACCTTTTCCCTTCAATTTTCTTTTAAATTAATGTAGTAGTGAATTTTTTGTTTATTTTCACATTTTAACTTTACTAAATAATATAATATTATATTATCTAGTATGAATTTTTTAAGTTAAACATAATATTCATATTGTTCATGCTAAATAAAGTAAATACCTTTAGCCGGTCTGTAGCTTTGACTAGCCTCTTATAGTCAAGAGGTCCTTGAACTTTGAGCATGTCCATCATGTAATCCGCTTCCCTCACAGAATGACGTACGGCTTCTAGTTTTCCGTTGAAATCATCCCAAAGCCCATTTCTTGCTTTGAGTTTCGATAGCAGGTTGAGCGTTCTTTCTTCTAATTTTGAATGCGAGTCTTGCAGTTTGGATATTTCTTTTTCACAATGAATCGGGGAAACGGAAACTTTAACGCCCAGTGGTATGGAATGCAAGACCTGACGGATCGCCATTAGGTCTGACCACTGCGCCTTTAGAAATTCAGAAACACCCTTTAAAAAATAAAGATAAAAATATGTGTTAAATGATTAATAAAAACAATTATTAATTAGGTTTAATTTTTGCAATTTTACCTCAGCATTTGTATATGCTTGTTTAACATCAGCATGTTCCAAATTGAGGCTATTCTCACACTGATCAAGAACACCAGAAGCCCTGTATTGGTCTCGTTTTGCTCTTGTAATTCCTTTCTTCAGTATAGAAAGTCGTTCTTGTATACTTCTCAGCCCTTGTAGTTCGTTAGTTACTGATAGCATGAGTTTCCGAGCAAAATTTTGAAGTGATGTCAGTTTTTCTTTTTCAATTGCTGGTACAATTCCCATCTTCAAAAGTTCATTTTGGACACCTTCAAGGCTTTCTTTCAAAACCTAACAATCATAATTGTTATTTACATTCGACAATATTATATGTTTCTTTTTATACCTGTAATTTTCCGATACACAGTTGAAGGTGGTCATCAGTTTTAATTACACCATGCATGTTAAGCAATGCATTTTCCATTTCTTTAAGCCTTGATTCCATCATGTTCAATCTTTCAGTCGGTGACGAGCCAGTAGGAAGAACAAAGGAAGAAGACACCAGTTCTTCAAGTTCTCCAAACAGTTTTTCTGTTCTGCCCCAATCATTATTCAAGTCTGTCATGTTTTTCCTTAATTGCATTTCATCAGAAACAGGAAGAGCATTCATCGCTTTCTCAAAATTGTTACCGCATTCGTTATAAAGAGGCTTGAATACTTCATATTCAGCCTTTAATTCCTATTAATTTTTATAATTAATTTTTCTGAATTTTTGTTGAATTATTGTACTTACCCAAAATTTAACAATGTTGACAGGAGGCTTCTTAAGTTTTTTATTTTTGTGAACCAAATCTAACCATTTTGTAAGCTTGGACAGCATATTTTCATGCATGAACCAAATTTCTTTAAAAGCCATGAGATTTGCAATATCATCGTTGATTTTATCTTGAAGCTGTGACATTTCCATCCTTATTTGTTCACACTTCTCTTCTAGCTCAGGACATGACACAAAATTCTGAAGTGCATGTGCTGTGTTAAGAAGTTTCCAAACCCTGGCACTGTGCAAATTGACATCGGCGCTCATTAACTGCACAAAAAAACAACAAATGTTAGCATAAACAAAATGTTTAATTTAAATTGATTGATAAATTGCTTACTTGATAGAGTGAAATGTATTCAGGATAATCAGAGGATGTAACTTTTGTGAGATCAGGCACTCTAAGCAAAGCGACCTGCAGCCACTTTGTTTCTTCTGCAAGTTCCTGTTCAAGTATTGTCCATTTTGAAGTTGCTAAGGCTAATTGTTCAGTTCTTTCTCCAGCCTTTTCCAGAATGTCTGTCGCCAACGAGTGTAATTCTTTGTGTAACTTTTCATGAGATTTTCTTGTCTCGGGATTAAGGTGTTCTTCAAGATATTCAAGAATCATACGACAATGGGAAAGGCTGATGAAAAACTTTCGTCCCTTTTGCATTTCATCCTAGAAGATTTCCAAACAAAAATGATTTAGTGAGTTTGATTATATATCAGTAAATCTAAAAATTACCTTCAGATGTTGTAAGCTTTGAACAGCTACTCTTGAATCTACCATGTTTTGCGCAATTTTAGTCACATGTTCCAATTCGACTAACGTGTCTTTGTACTCTTGTGCAAGTGCTTCGGCTTGTTCAAATTGTCCTCTGAGAAGTGAAATCGCATCTTCATTTGAGCTGTACAAGTGAGCAGCATCTATAAGATCTTGTGGAATAAGTCTGTGAGGTGGAGTTGACAATGTCCTTCCAAGGTGGATTAATGAATTTATTTGATTTCCATAATTAGTATTTGTGGCTTCTAGCTCATCTAACTTAGCCATTTTTTCCTGCATTTAATAAAAAAAATTAAAACTTTAACATATACAATAAACACAAAAACTTAAATAATAAATTTAAGTGCAAATAATAATTAGAAAATTATTTCTATGTACATAAATATTTTTTAAAAACTTACATCTGTAGTACATCCATCCTCCTTTTCCAAGGAATCAATATCTTTCGATAATTTTTTCAGAAGGACATAGCTGCTATTTATAGAAGCCAATAATTCATCCCACTTTTGGTGTTCGTTATCCATCTGATCCTTTGTTTCATTGTAGTTTTTAGACACGGATTCGGCTTGATTTTCAACAATTCTCATTAAATCCGAATCACCAAGTTCTTCCTGAAGAACTTGGATTAAAGATTTAAGAGATGTCAATTCTTCAGGGATGGTCGCCATCTGTTGTAATTTGTATTCAGGGTTAAATTTTCCATTCTTGTATTTCTGAAAATTACATATATCAAATTCATTGTCATTAAAGAAATAATAAAACAATACTTACTTTGGTGTTCAATATTAAATAATTGATTATTTCCAGATATTCTGATATTATAGTGATGCAAATCAACTTGATTTTTTCCCTTTCTTCAGGATCTTTTGTCTTAGAGAGTTTTTTAAGATGATTGTTTAGTTTGGTCTTGACATCATTGATATCTTCATGGGAAATGTAGTATTTGTATGATGGTTTGTTTATGTCAGAAACCTTTTGCGTCAAGCTTCTAATAACTTCTTCTTCAGGGACAGACTCTTCTGTTGGGGCTTGTTTGCTTTTCACTTCAGCTTCTTTAGTGGGAGATGGCACTTTCTTTGTTTGCTTGACTAAAATTTCTTCTTTACTTGTAGAGGTGTCATCTGGTTGAGGACTGATCATTCCTGAAGAATCTGAAGATGCTTGTTGTTGTAACTTTTCATTCTGTTTACTTTCTATGTTAAGGCCGTAAACAATGTTTGGTTTTTCATGTTCACTTGAAACATTTATAGACTCATTAACTTTTAGTGAAATAGACTGTTGTGTTTTAGGTAATAAGTCTTGATTAACTTGTACATGTGAAGATGTCTCAAACTCATCGCCGGCAATTGCAGTGTTAATTGATATGTTCAAATCATTATTTGGAGTATCACTTTTGCCTTTCCTTTTATGGGTTTTCGTTCCCAATTTTTGGCCATCAGGTTGCATTGGCTGTTGTGATGAAAGAGAAGGAAATTCTTCTTCAAAAGGTTTTTTCACCTTTCTGGCTGGTAATTCTTGAATTTCTGTATGCTTACTGCTACTAGATTTAGATTCAGGTTTATTCAAATTGGCATCAGGTGATGTTAGATCTACTTCGACTACTTCTGAATGTTCTGATTTACGGAGAGATTCTAAACTCTTTCTTTCTTCTTCAGGAGCGTCTTTCAACAGACTGCTGACCGATTCATCCTTTCTTAAACTCTCGGGTTGTGAATAAATTTTCTTTTTACTACTAACATCTTTTGATGATTCTTCAGATTTTACAAGATCTCCCTGATCAGGTGCAGTAGACAATGATGAATCATCAGATAAATTATTTTTTGTTGGCTTAACTTTGTCGGTTACTGAAGAATCCTGGGATTGAAGATCTACTGAGACTTCAACAGTATGGTCTGTGGTTTCAGGATCTGTCAAAGTTACACAAGTCTCCACTTCAACATGTGATTCTGTATGTTTCTTGGGTTTAGGTTCTGATACTTCATCATGAGCTTCCTTTCTTTTCAATTTACCTTTCTTTCCTTTGTCAGAAGTGGAACTTTCTGATGTTTGAACCTCTGTCATATCATCTTCCTTAGATTTAGGTTCACCCTTTCCTACTAATTTCTTATCCTTTTGTAATTTTTTCGTGAATAGTTCTTCTTGCTGTAAATTAGGTGATTGTTCTTTTGGCTTAATTTCAGTTTTGGATATTTTTTCTTCCACTTCAACATCCTCTGGTAATTCCGAATCAAGTGGCTTGTTTTTATCGATTGGAGATTTCATTTTCTTTTCTGGCTTTTTCTGAGCATGTGCCTCCTGTTGTGTCTGCTGTTTAGGTTTAGTTTCAGTTTTGGAAATTTTCTTTTCTTCTACTTGAACTTCCTGTAATTGAGGACTATCACTCACCGGCTGACCTTTCTTTTCTGATTTTTTCTTGTGTTTTTCTTTAGGTTTATATTCTGTTTTTGATGACTTAGTGTCTTCAGTTGATGGTTCAGAATCAGGTTTGGGTTCATTATAAGATTTTCCTTGAAGTTTTTCTAATTGTGGTGATGTTTCTTTGTACCTAATTTCAGTTTTGTATGTTGTAATTTCTTCAACCGGTGTTTTTGAATCAACGTCTTTACTTCTTGGAGATTGTGGTTTCTTTTGAGTTGTTTTCTGTTGTTTTTCTAATTGAGGAGACACTTCTTTAACCCGACTTGCAGTTTTGTATAGCTTTACTTCTTCTACTGGTGTTTTTGTATGAAGAAGTTTATCTCCATCTTTCATTGATGGTAATTTCTTTTCAGATTGTTTCGGTTCATTTTCTAATTGAGGTGATAGTTGTTTAGGCTTAATTTCAGTTTTGCATATTTTTTCCTCTGGTGGTGTTCTTCTGTCCAGAGGCTGTGCTGTTTTGGGTTTCTTTTCTGATTTCTTTTGTGTTTTTTCTAATTGAGGTGATTGTTCTTTTAGTTTATGTTCCGTTTTGAACTCTTCCTCTTGTGTATTTGAGTCATCAGGCTTTTCAGCCTTGGTTTCTTTTTTAGGCATTTTTCTCTCTTCGATTTCGACATTCACTAATATCTGTGAATCAACAGGCTCATTTTGTTGCGGTTTAGTTTTCTTGTCAGATTTTTTCTCCTCTTTTTCTAATTGTGGTGATTTTTCTTTCAGTTTACTATCTGTTTTGGAGATCTTTACTTCTTCTACTGGTTTTTTAGAATCAGGAAGTGTTTCTTTATCAACTTGTTTTTTAGGCTTAGTTTCAGGTTTTGATGTTTTTATCTCTTCTACTTCAATATTCACAGATATTTCTGAATCAAATGGCTTGCCTTTGTCACCTGTTGATTTGGTTTTATCCTCTGACTTTTTCAGAGTTTTTTCTGGTTGAGATGATAGTTCTTTATGTTGATTTCCTGTGTTGTATACTTTTCTTTCCACTTCTACATTTACTGATGCTTCAAAATCAACAGGCTTATCTTTGTCACCTGTATGTTTGGTTTTCTTTTCTGGCTTTTTCTGGGTTGTTTCTAATTGAGGTGATTGCTCTTTACGTTGATTTTCCGTTTTTTCTTTCACTTCACTCACTGATGTGTCAAAATCTAAAGGCTTGTCTTTGTCACCTGCAGATTTGGTCTTGTCTGGTTTTTTCTGGCTTTTTTCTATTTGAGGTGACTGTTCTTTGGGTTTAGGTTCATGTTGTTCTTGCACTTCAATATTCATGGATATTTTTGAATCAAATGGCTTATCTTTACCGTCCATTGGCATGGTTTTCTTTTCAGATTTTTTCTTAGTTTTTTCCAATTGAGGTGATTGTTCTTTTACTCTAATTTCTGTTCTATATATTTCTTTTTTAGGTGTTTCAGAATCAGGCGAATCACTTTCACTTGCTGTTTTGGTTTTCTTTTCTTTTTGCTGTGTTTTTTCTGCTGGTGATGACTTTTCTTTCGGTTTAGTATCTCTTGTGGACTGTTTTACTTCTTCCACTACATGTACTGGAGAGTCAGAATCGAAAGTCTTCTCCCCAGTACCAGCTGGTTCAGATTTTTGTACGTGTGGCAATTCAGAATCAAAAGGCTTATCCTTACTTGAAGTCTTCTTGTCTGATTTCTTTTGTAGTTTTCCAGTTTTTGGTGAAGGTTCTCTGGGTTTAATTTCACTTCTGGATTTTTCAATTTGTTGCATTTCAAGATCAAATGATTTATTGTCATCCACTTCGTCTTTAGACATTGGCTTCTGTTTCGTAAATGGTGATTCTTCTTTAGGCTTAACTTTACCACCATTTGATTTTGTTTTCTCTTTTGATCCTTTTTGTGTGCTTTCTGGTTTTTCTAACTCTGGTGACTTTTCTTTAAGTTTTGGTTTAATTTCCTTCACTTCTACTTGTATTTCACAAACTAATGATTCATCCTTTTCTACTGGTTTTGTTTTGGAAATGGACATTTCTTCTGATGCAGTTGAAGATAGTACATCTTCTTGTATAGGCGGATGAGTCTCTCCTTTTTCTTTTGATGTTGTAGAAGGTTCATCATAAGTATGAGGATCTTTTTTATCTTTTGTAGTTTTCTTGTGTTTTCCCTTTGTAGCAGATTTTGGTTGTGGCTGAGCATTAACATCTTTCTCTATTTCTGACTTAACAAAACTTGTTACCAATGGTTCTTGTGTTTCAGTAATGATGGTTGTTTTTACCTCTACTTGTTCTACCGACATGTCATCTGATAATTTTTCTGGTTCATTGGTCTCTTTTTCACTTATTTTACCCTTACCTTTTTTCAGATCTTGAGCTTTCTGATCAGGTGTTTGTTTCTTGGACTTTTTCTTACTATCTTCTTTTGTTTTATGTACTTTGTCACTAGATTTTAGCTTTTGTTCATGTGGTTCAGTTGCACTACTAATTTCAGCACTGATAAATGCTTCTACTCGGGCTTTTGGTAAATTTGTTGAAGTAGATTCTGAGGTTGGCAAACTTTCTTTCTTTTCCGTCTTTTCCACAATTTTAGCTTCTTTCTTTTTTGGTTTACTTTTCTTATCATCCTGTTTCTTCTCCTTTTCCTCGCTCTTTTTTGAAGTATCTTCTTTAGGTGTTGCCTCTTTTCTTGGTGGTAGTTCATCTTTAGCACTTGACGCAGGAGATTCACCTATGTCAAATGCAGGTTGTTTGTATAGAGCAGCTTCTCTTCTTTTGTTTTCTTCTGATATTTCTTCAAGAGGGGCAATATCTAAACTGTGGATTGGTGAGGTAATAGCATCTGTCAAAAGTGGTTCATCTACTTCTTCCTCTACAACCTCTTCTTTTCCATTAATTATCACGATTTTTTTGATAATTCTTTTAACTAGGATTGTTCTTTGTTCAGGGAGGGTTTTGTACCATGTGTATTGCAAAGTAGATTGATTATCATCCTGTGGGCTCATTTCATGAACTGGTCTATCATATTTTACCATTTTTTGTGAATGAGGATCACTTGAGGTTAATATTTCACGTTCTACTGGTTCGTCAATGATTTCAGTTATCTCAACAGGTTCTTCAATTTCTTCCTCTTCGATGTGTTCTTTACCATTTATGTACACAACTTTCTTTATAATTTTTTTAACCTTTCTTATATTGGTTCTTTTGGTATGTATTACTTCTTTCATACAAGTTTGCACAGCGTCTGACGGTTGTGGAGTTACTTTTGTCACCTCCTGCATAAAAACTTGAGTTGTACTTTTCGGCGGGCTAACAACTTCCATACCCGACTCCGAGATCTGTTTGCATGGGGCATCTTTAGATTTTGTGTCAATCAGTCGGTTACTTTCGTCTGATACGGTCAACTCGGCATTTATTTCGACTACATCACAGCTCGACGGTGGTGTTTCGTCTGTGCATTCAGAGATTCCGACTTCTAACATAATGTTACTGGTACTGTCGTCATCGTTCGGTAGGTCTGTCCAGTCTTTCAAAGTTTCATCTGCTGAATCACTCATTAAGCCAGTTTGTATGTCTAATTTATCCGATGGATGTTGGTCAGTAATTTCTTGAGCATAATAATCCTTGAAACAAAATATTATTAGGATACTGGTCTTAAATGGAAATTTGAAAGTAATATAAAACTTACAGGCTCCTTACTAGCTACATCAACACCATCATGACTTAATGGCTGTTCTTTTTCACTTGAAATGTCCTTTTCCTGAAAATTAATTCCATTAATTAATTGTAAGTCATCATTACAACAATTTTACTGTCACAATATTTAAAAATATTATTTACTTACATCTTCAAACGCAACTTCAATTTTGGCTTCCAAAACAGGATTTTCACCCTGAAAATTGGTTATGATGCAAAAATTATAATGATGCAAATAAGAATATGTTAACCATGACAGCAATAGAAAAAGAAAAACAACACATCAAAGTAATTCACAGTAACAGCAAAACAATTACAACAAACAAAAATAGCGTTTTGGTTTGGCATATTATAATATTAATATTATTATAATATAATTAATGCACTGTCTTATAAAAATATTAATATTATAATACTATATTTGATAATTTATGCAAGGAATTTAAGATCGTTTAACACAATTTTAAAAAATTTATTAAATTAAAAATTAATTTTTTACTATTTTATTATAATTAAAAGAAGAAATTCAAACTATATTTTATTCATAAGAAGTAATATTTTAAAAGTTAATGTTAGAAATAATATGATTAATGAAAAGTCTCTAAAGTCTTTAGAGATGACATTATGAAAAAAATACAATTTGAACATTACTCATTAGTACAATATCAACTAAACACGTGTAAAATACACTACTGACATACTGACATCAATTAAGTAATGTCATTGAAATTATACGAAACTGGAAGCATTTCTCAATATTAGTAAAGGTCTTTTTGACCATTTAGAAAACCAAAAGTCTTGTATTGTGAATACCTCACAATGGGTTGAGGTGAGAATGTTAACCCACTGGCATGCGAAGCTGGACGTAATTTCTTAACATTCCCTTTACCTTTAACAAGACACCACAGGTACAGCAGCATGCATTTGATTTTACATTTTTTTTACTATAAAAGGGATAATAATATTTACAACCTAGAAAACCATTGGAGCAGTTCGAGAAGCAGAACTGAGCTAACAAATAAATAAGTAAAAGATAATCAAAATAAATTAAGCTAGAAGTGAAAACAAGAGCACTTTTTTGCAAATAGGTCACAAACCAGGATAGGGCACCATTACCATAAAAACCTTTAGTAAGCATTCAACAAGTTAGTTGGTTTTTTAGCTTTACACCAAAGAAAAGCATTCGTTTAAAATTAATTTCGAACCTTGGTTCTAATTTCTTGGTTATCCTTTGATGGAGGTGGCCAGTTGATATCAATATCACGCAGTGTCTTCTTTGAATTTTCAGACCAATAGGGATCTGAGCTGGAGAAAAGGAGCTGGGACGGATGGGATAAGGTTTGATCGACAGATGGTTTAAAATCTTTTTCAGTTACTCCCATATTATCTACGTTAATGTTAAATTTTTCTACTGGTTCAGTTGAAGCTTTCTTTATAACGACTGGGGAGGGTTCCCTAGATTTTCGTACAACCTGTGCATATGTATCTAAATGAAGTGGTCTAGACCTGTTTAAATAAGTCGGTTCGCTTAATTTTTGTTGAAGTAAGATTTCTTTTGTAGTCTCTGGGGTCACGTCTGGTTCAGGAAGTGAATCTGACAGCAGATTTGCTTTAGATCTCTTTTCAGCTACCATTTCAGGCAAATTTTGGAGTTCCCTGCCAAGCCTGGAGCTTCCAGTTTCATCAGTTGTTGGTAATTCCCTAGTTAAAGATGGCTCTCTCGACCTTTTTGTGATCTCAGCATAACTCATACTTATGCCGGGATCACTTAAGAGTTGGGTTATAGGTAGCTGAACACCACTTACATTTATTTCGAAAATGGGGCCAGCAGTGCATTCCTTTGGGTCTTTCACTTCATTGTTGAGACTTTCATCATTGCTGTTTTTCTCTTTAGCTAGACTTCTAAGTGGGAAACTAACTTCTCTGGTTCTTTCAACTGTCACAGTGCCTCCAGGGCTAGGCCAAGTTCCACTAGTTTCAACTGATTTGAAGCTGAACTCGAAAGGTTTTATCTCACCCACATCTTTTCCATACCATAGCTGAGAAGGAATATTTTGAGAAGGATCTACATTTGAATGATCATCCTCTGTGTCAGAAACTGGGAAAGTATGAGATGATAATGATTCTATGATGCTGACATCACTTTCATCTCCTGTGTTAGTTTTCCTTTTGGTTTTTCTCTTTGATTTACTCACAGCTGGTGCAGTCCCTACACTTGTAATTTGTTTTATCTCATCAGTTGGTTTAGAGATGTTTTTGGGTTGGTGTAATTCAATCCTATCTGGATGTAATTCAGTAATTGGATTTTTGCTGTCATAGATTGTGGACTTCCCTTTATGATTATCACAACTTTCTGACTCAGATAATTTAGGTAGTGGTTCATCTAATAAAAGTGGAATAATTTCAAAATCGTCCTCCTCTTTAGGTGATTGGATTGGAAAATCATAGGTAGGTATACAGGTAGGGGCCACTGACTGTGATTGTACTGAATGTGGGTCAAAAATTGCACTTTGCACATCATCACTCTCTAGTTTTTTGTACTTGTCATCAACTTCTGATTGAACAGCAGATATAATTAGATCTTGAATTTTAGTCTGATTAGTTCTATTCTCTTCTGCTGAAAGTTCAGTACTTTCAACAACCCTGATTGCATGTCTTGCATAAATTGGAAGATCTTTCTCATCAGGCATACGATGAATATCAGATGATCTATGTAGTTCATCTTCGTTGAAAGATTTCTGTTGAGGAATAAATTGTTCCACAGCAGGAGTTCCAGAGTGATGTAGAAGAGGAGGGACTTTGGTACCTTCTGAAGAAGAATGTGAAGGATCGTTGTAACAAGGATGATCATGTGAAGTTTTTAATTTTTTAGTAATAATAAACCCAGGAACAGAAAAACCACCTTCCGGGGTTACATTACCATCATCAATAAGTGGCATTTTTTCTAAATTTTCACGATCAGCTCTCAAATAAGACTGCATGAGCCGACTTTGTAGTTCAACATCGGCAGGATTCTTTGCCGGTTGTTTCTTTCCTGGTTTCTCTTTGACTGGTTTGTCGGATGGCTTTTCTTCTTCGGTGGGAGTCTTTTCCGTGACTCGAACCTCAGCTACTGGTGCAGCTTGTGGTTCTTCCTCACTCGGTTTCTTGGATCGATCTTTCTTACGTTTGTCTTTTCCAGTCTTATCGGACGGTTTGTCGTCCTCCGTGGGAGTCTTTTCCCTTACCGTGAACTGTTTGAAATGCATACCGAGTTTTTCCATAACACCCGGTTTCTTGGATGGTTCATCCGTCGGCTCGTCTTTCCCGGTTTTGTCAGACGGCTTTTTCTCGTCGCCGGGAGTTTTGTCCGATGGTTTCTCCTCTTGGCCGACGGGCTTTTCTGTCACTTTCACCTCGGTGACACCCAGCTGTTGTGGTTCTAGATCGCCAGGTTTCTTGGATCGGTCTTTCTTGCCTTTGTCCTTCGGTGAAGGGGTCTGTTCTTTGAACGTGTACTCTGTGACATGCATCGTGAGCGGTTCCGTCTGTCCTGGTTTGGTGGACGGTTCACTCTTGGGTTTGTCCTTCAAGGTCTTGTCAGTAGGTGTCTCCTGTTCGCTAGGAGTCCTTTCTTTGTCAATAAATTCTGTTAGTAGTTTACTTAGTGGTTCTGTCACACCGGTTAACTGGAACGGTTCACCAGCGGTTGGTTTGTCTTTTACGCTCTGGTCAGACGGCTTATCTTGTGGATGGGTCTTTTCAGTGACTGACACCTCTGTGACGTGCACCGTTTGGGTGAATTCAACACCAGGTTTCTTTGACGGCTGTTTCTTAGATTTATCTTTTCCGGCCTTGTCGGAAGGTTTGTCATCTTGAGTTGGAGTCTTTTCTCTGACGGTAAACTCTGTCAGATGCACAGTCCGAGTGTCCTCCTCACCGGGTTTCTTTGCCGGTTGTTTCTTTCCAGGTTTCTCTTTGACTGGTTTGTCGGATGGCTTTTCTTCTTCGGTGGGAGTCTTTTCCGTGACTAGAACCTCAGCTACTGGTGCAGCTTGTGGTTCTTCCTCACTCGGTTTCTTGGATCGATCTTTCTTACGTTTGTCTTTTCCAGTCTTATCGGACGGTTTGTCGTCCTCCGTGGGAGTCTTTTCCCTTACCGTGAACTGTTTGAAATGCATACCGAGTTTTTCCATAACACCCGGTTTCTTGGATGGTTCATCCGTTGGCTCGTCTTTCCCGGTTTTGTCAGACGGCTTTTTCTCATCGCCGGGAGTTTTGTCCGATGGTCTCTCCTCTTGGCCGACGGGCTTTTCTGTCACTTTCACCTCGGTGACACCCAGCTGTTGTTGTTCCAGATCGCCAGGTTTCTTGGATCGGTCTTTCTTGCCTTTGTCCTTCGGTGAAGGGGTCTGTTCTTTGAACGTGTACTCTGTGACATGCATCGTGAGCGGTTCCGTCTGTCCTGGTTTGGTGGACGGTTCACTCTTGGGTTTGTCCTTCAAGGTCTTGTCAGTAGGTGTCTCCTGTTCGCTAGGAGTCCTTTCTTTGTCAATAAATTCTGTTAGTAGTTTACTTAGTGGTTCTGTCACACCGGTTAACTGGAACGGTTCACCAGCGGTTGGTTTGTCTTTTACGCTCTGGTCAGACGGCTTATCTTGTGGATGGGTCTTTTCAGTGACTGACACCTCTGTGACGTGCACCGTTTGGGTGAATTCAACACCAGGTTTCTTTGACGGCTGTTTCTTAGATTTATCTTTTCCGGTCTTGTCGGAAGGTTTGTCATCTTGAGTTGGAGTCTTTTCTCTGACGGTAAACTCTGTCAGATGCACAGTCTGAGTGTCCTCCTCACCTGGTTTCTTTGCCGGTTTTTTCTTTCCTGGTTTCTCTTTGACTGGTTTTTCGGATGTCTTTTCTTCTTCGGTGGGAGTCTTTTCCGTAACTCGAACCTCAGCTACTGGTGCAGCTTGTGGTTCTTCCTCATCCGGTTTCTTGGATCGATCTTTCTTACGTTTGTCTTTTCCCGTCTTATCGGACGGTTTGTCGTCTTTCGTGGGGGTCTTATCTTTTAATGTTAATTGTTTGAAATGCTTACTTATTTTTTCTATAACCCCTGTTTTCTTGGACGCTTCCTCTTTAGATTCCTGTTTTATGTTTTTGTTATCTTCTTTCTCCGGGGTAGAAAATATTTTGGCCGGTAATGTTTGTGATTTTTCGACCCATTTTTTACTGACTGGAATATTCTTAGGACTCTCCATTTGTACCTGTTCGGTCTGATCTTCTCTCTTGTCACTCTTTTGTAGGTATTTAATCTCTTTTTGTTGCGTATTGTCTGATGCCTTATTTTTATTTGATTTATCATCCTTTGGCTTTCCTCCCTTGGTCTTGTCTGTTACTTTGTGTTTTTGTGTAGGAGTCTTTTCTTTGACTTTATCCTCAGCACTATCTGTGTGTTGTATAGCTTGTAGTTTATCTTCTGACTTGTCTGACTGTTGCTCATTCATTTTTTCTTTCACTGATTTAATCGGCGATTTCTCCTCCTCAGTTGGAGTTTTTTCTCTGGTTGTCAACTGTTTAATATGAATGCCAAGTTTTTCGATAACACCTGTTTTCTTCTGTTGACCTTTCTTAGGCTTTTGTGTAGATTGTTGTTGTTTTTCTTGAATCGGTTCTTTCTCATTGGGTGGTCGTTCTGCCTCTCCCAGTTTAATTGGGAAGGTTGATTTCATTTCTATTATTTTTGGCTCTACTGCTATAGGTACATTTTTAGTTCTTGAATCACCTTTTGTAGAAATGACAGTTTTCTGTGTTGGTTTTGTGCTTACAGATTCTGTAACCCCAGATTTGTGACTTTCATTAATATCTTCCGCTTTTTGAATTTCTAATTCTTTAATTAAAGGCATTGGTGTTTTTTCTTGATCTTCAAGTTGTGATGGTTCATCAGTTTTTAAATCATTGTTTTTAGTGTGAATTGTTGATTTCTTTTTAGGTTTCATTTTTAGGAAGATAGGATTTTCTGCTGGTTCTTCATCTACATTTTGTTGAATCAATGTCTCATTAGTTTCAGATCTATATACATTATTTGGATTCTGGTTTGTTGGCAATTGTGATAAATCAAGTTTATATAAGGTTGTGTCCGTCTTGTTTTGTTCTGTGGTTGATAACTGACTGTCTTGTGGAGAAATTTGTTTTTGCAGATTGTGAGTACCACGGGTGGTTTCGACTACAGTCCTTCTTGTAATAATAGTTTGAGAGAAACTAGGTAATTGTGGTTGTTCAATGACATGGTGTTGAGTTTGGTGTAGTAAGTCAGTTTGGTCCAACATGGGAGATTGCTGACTGGGTTCAAGCTTTTGTTTATTTGGTCCATAAGCTTGATTGTCATGCATAGTAAGAGTTTTTTGTTTGATTGTTTGTACATATGTAGGATCTAGTCCTATTAAAGACACATCCTCCATTGAAGATGCCCTTGAGTTGTTCCTTGATGTACCTCTCAAAACGTCTGAATAGGAAGCAGTTTCCCCTGGTATCCATATTGGACTTTTAGAGCGACTGCGAGTTTGTTGTACTGCAAGAAAGCCTGGTTGTGTAGACAAAGTCTTTGAAAATGTCTCCTCATTGGAAGGACTATGACCACTTTCTTTTCTTGGGCTCGTACTACGTTTAAATTGGTCATACCTACTTATCCTTGCTTTTGGTAGCACTTTACTGTTTTCTGATTTCTTGTCGAGTTCAGAACTAACCATTATCGAAGGCAATGTATTTTCCGGTAGATTAACGGATGGGTCATCCAAATCTGGTACTTTTATACTAGGTGATGATGTCTGAACTGTAACTGTTTGTTTTAAATAATACGGCTCACTTACTACTGTTGTCTTGGTTGTTTGGTATGGGACTGTTTGAGGATCTTTTAAAATAAATCTGCTTTCATTTAAAACTCTACTTTCACAAGATTTCATATGCACAGGTGACGAACTGCGAGAAGTGCATGGACTTCTACCAGCTGCTACATCAGCATAAGAATATTTATCCAATGTATCTAATAAACCAATCGTATCGGGTTGTATAAAATTTTTAAAATCAATAAATTTAGGCCAGGAAGGGTCTTGGGTGCAAACCAACTTGAGCAGCTCACTTATCTTGCCTTGCTTTTGGAGCGTGTTCTTCCGCAGATCCTAATAATAAACCCATTGCCCCAGTTATAAAAATTATATTTAAAAAAATTATGCAAAAGTTTCATTAATTGGAGGAGAGAAATCACTTAAGGGGCGGCACAACATTTAATAAGCTCTTAAGCAATGCCTGGTGGACCGAATAATTTACCCAACGATTTCCCATAATTTATAATATCTTTGTACACAAAATAAAGGAAAAACACAAAGAAAAAATTTTCAATTTGCAAAACGTTAAAAAAAAGAAGAAAAAAGTACTAAGTGTCTAAAAGTGGATCAAGGTCAGGAGTTCCTCTTTGCAGCAGAAGCTTTACACGTTCTGATCTTGCTGAGATCTTGCTTTGCAGTGCACGTACCTTCTCCTTGCATGCCTAAGGATGGAGGACAAGGGAAATAAAGCTTGTAGATAACCATCACCAGCATTTTTTCATTCACTACACATTTAAAATAATAACTTACACCATTCATTCTAAACAATCCTTATCTATACCAAAAAATTTTTTTAAAAATAAATATAATTATTCATTTGTACCTATGTGTATGCTGTATAACATGAGCATGCATTAACAATTTAATTTAAATATATAATTATGCAATATTGTGCTATAGTAATATTTTTGTATCATGCATATTATTTTTTTATCAAATGAATAATATATTTATGACAATTGTTAATGATGCTATGCCCAAAATAATTATAATTGTTAAAAAATAACTTGATGGATTTGAGAACATAGTTTATTTTGAAGTAAAAAGATCTTTTCATTTATGAATTTTTGCGTATATGCTATTTTTATGCTCAAGTTTGTTACGATGAATTTCATCTGAAATTTTAAAATTAAATTAATCAAGGAAGATAATATAATATGTACTTCCACTACAATTGATGAGGATGAAATTAATGTAAATAGAAAGTTCATTTGCAATTTGGGTTGGAATTTAGTTATAGAAAAACAATGTTATTTTGCAGATCAATCGTGAATTTACTCAGAAAATTTTTTTCCAAAAGAACACTGTTAAACACTAAAATAATTTAGTTCTGTTTACTTAGGAACATGCATGCAACGTTCTTAAATATAAATACCAGTGTATACTTAACTGAACATTCTACGTAAGGAACTTGCAGATAAATTATTAGGAGTTAAACGGATAATTTTCCATGAATGTAGATTTTCCGGGCAGGATTATTTGTAAGATGAGTTTATAATTAAAAGAAGAAAGGTACATAATCTTTATCAAAAAAATTAATTAATTATGGATTAAAAATAGAACATTTATTACTCACCTAATTGTCAATTAAATTATTAGGATTTGTTAAAATTTTGTCAATTACTTGCATACTTTTCAAACTTAAAGAGTTAAATATAATTAAAAGCGTGTCATGAGTGCAACTCATTTAAAAGTGAAGGCTGCATTATTAAAATTATAGCTGATTTATTTGTTTGAAAGTTCCCTTGCTATAAAAACACCACAAAATTGTAAAGTTAACAAGTGAAGATCAATAATTTGCTTTTATTGATATTGCGATAATGTGCGTACACATAAAAATTGATAGCGATACAAAATAAAGATAGTGAAGCGTTGTGCCATTACAACAAAATTATATAGTGTACGAACTTACAACTAATATAAATATATTCAGTTGAATAAAGACAAACACAAAGCAAGCAAAATAAATCTCTCTTTGAGAGAGAGATCACAATTTGAAAGGAAATAAAAACAAGCAGAGGTCTACATGAATCTGCAAGCACCTTGAACACTCAAACATATCATAATCAAAGCCTTTCACTATTATATGTGAGTTGAGAGGAATATCTGGATAGGTCAAGCAGGGTAAAACAAAAGTACAAGAAAGAGGAAACACATTGATGAATTCGTGACACACCAGGCATTGATGATTTTACTACATTATTCATGGAATCATCAAAATGTTTCCAAAAGTGCTTTTGAGCATATAAATGTTGTGTCACTTGATTAGTTTACAAGGGGCTTAATATTAATGTTATACTATCCTCATCGTTCCTTATAGTGGGTTACATGTTTTAAAAATTATTAATTACTTGATTTCTTCTAAGTTTGATAATTATTTAAAGTTTTTACTGACTCAAATAATGCACATAACCAAGAAACTATGAGCTCCTTGGTCTGTTCAATTTAATGTTAGTATTGGTTCATTGTATAGTGGCAACTATTAATTTAATCAGTAGCATTTTAATCAAATCTAAACATTTAAACATCATTTAATTTTCCACAGGGGAAAATTTTTTCACAAGTGACAAAATGACACTGATTAATCACGATAATTGTTCATGTTTATGCTATTTATAAACTGTGCATAGAGTCCTCACGATTCTCATTTTAAAAGGCTCAAAACAATATGGAAAATAAACTCACTTTGCAAAATAAATATGTTAATTTTACTTACGTTTTGCTCTTGGATAGCTTTTTCTCTATCATTTGGCAAATACGTGGGAGATGAAACCATCCTCAGTTTTTGTTCAGATGAAACCACTTCTTGTTTCAACTGTAAAAGCTCCTAAAGACAATTTCATATGTGTAGAAGAAAACAGACGTAAACTTCTTAAAATAGAATAAAATAAAACTTTACCTGTTGATATTGTTCAACTTGATTTATCCTCTCTTCAAGGTCGACACTTTGCTGCTTGACGATCCCATGTAGAGAATCAAGTTCACGTTTAAGTTCTTCTCCCTGTTTAGGAACTGATTCCGCTCCACTAAGGCCACTCTTGAAATGAACCTAGGAAAATTTTCATTTTTGTATTAACTCAGTATTGTATTAGTTAAAGTCTACAGGTACACTAAGAGTCACCTGCAGCTTTTCAATTGAAACTGCTATTTTTGTTTTTTGGATTGAAACATCAGACATGGTTTTTTCTTTAGAGGCGAGCTGATCCCTAAGTGGTTTCTTTTGCCCAGCTCCTGCTTCTAGAGCAGCTTTTGTTTTTGATATCCAACTACGGACTTCCCTTAGTTTTTTCTCACATTGTTCCCATTCTTCGCTGGTCTCATGGAGAAGTGCGTGCTTTAACAAAAAAACTCAGTCAATTTCAGTTCCTTCATTTGGAAAAATAAATGTTTCTTTTACCCTTTCTAATAGTTGAGCCTCGACTTCAGCCTTTGCCATTTCGGCTTCTTCCATTTTCTCTGACAAATTTCCTATGCTTCCATTTTCACTAATATGATCCAACTCTTTTGACATCTCACTAAGCGTCTTGCCCATGTTTTTGCAGTTTTTCACAGCCCCCTTTGAAAAAAAAAAAAAAAATTAGTCAGAATTTTATTATCTATAATCAAGTTGAACAAACTTACTGTATAGTCGTGTAATTTAACTTTGGCTTGATCTAAGTTTTCTAAATAAAGCGGTTGTTTCAAAAAGTCGTTCTTTTCCCTACACCAGTTCATCACGGTGTTATAAAGAGTCAAGAAACGTTCCCAGGAATCCAGGCAGTCTCCGACCTAAATTAATTATAGATTAGTTTGTAATTAAGAAAGTATGACATTTTGAACCTAACTTTGAAACTAAAATTACCTGTTGTTTCTTTTCTTCAATCCAGGCACGAATCATAGCAAGTTGCTCTGTCAATGCATTTACATTTTCTTTTATAAGAGAAATTTCATTTTCGTCCTTTGAGTTGTTGCAGATTGTTTTGGCATTTTGAGTCATTTGGTCCAACTTGTCACTCATTGCTGGTAATTCTGTTTGCACTTGCTGCATTTTTGAACAAATTAAAAAAAAAAAATTATTCATTGGAATAAATTGTAATGAGCATGAACGGAATGTTTCACTACCTGAAGTGTTTCCTTAATGGCTTGTGGCTTGCTAGTTTTGTCTTGAACTTTAAGCTCGGCTTGTTGTAGCCAAGAAGTAAGCATGTCTCTACATCTTACGTATTCTGTTCTTACAGTCCTAGCCCTCTTCTGATTTTTAGCTTTTTCCTCCATTGCGCTTGACATGTTTTCCATCAAAAGTTCCAAATCGATAAACTGTAAAACCAAATGAATTAATAACATGAAAATAATACAAACTAGTTAAATTTTACCTTCTGCTGTAATTCCGAAAGAACGCTTTGCTGATGATCAGAATATTTTTCACGGACTTGTTGGATAAACTTTTGAACTTTAGAAGTCAATGATTTTACTCTACCTTCAAGATCCTAAAGTAAACGTTTCAAATTAAAATCTGATCCAAACAAGCACAAATATATTTTTTCTTACAATAACTTCATTTTCAGCTAGATCTTGATCTGGACCAAAAACATACAACGAATTTATTTCTTTTGTCAGATCCTCCAAAGATTTCTTGTGTTTGTCAATTTCAGAGCTAACGTTATTGTAGTAAGCGAAATCTTTGTCAAGTTTAGCAACTTTCTCTTTTAATAATTCTGTCAGTCTAAAAACAAAAGATTATTTTATATAACATAAAACAATTATGTTTATTGAATTATATTTGTTTATATAAATAACATATAAACACAATAATTTTTTTAAAATTAAATTGTAATGATATGTTGTAAAAAACAAATTTTAGCTGAATATATTATATAATAATTTTATTTTATACAATACTCAAGTATTCTGGGGTGAATGTGTGACGTCTAGAGAGTAAAGTAAGTTATTGGCAAAACAAAGTGGTTTCAAACCTGCTCCAAGAAATATTGAGTACTCTGGGGGAGTGAATATGACCAGAACTCTTTGTTTTTGATATATTGTACTATGTATTCTTTAATTGACAACCTGAGGTACAAACATTAGCATTTTAGGATACTGACTTAGTTTTCGTAGCACAAGCAAAGTCAGTAACAGATCAAGACAATTAAGGTGGAAAAATGCTTGTGAAACATCCGAAAAATAATAAAAAAACATACAGCCCCCAACGTCCACATTACAATAAGATTTTCTAACAAACCAATTATTAAATGAACATAAGGCGGTTTATGTAGCAAATGTCAAACATAAGCTGAAAAATTGTCACGAATACAAATATTATTGGTGATGGTTGGATGATTAAAGGGCAAGATCTCGTAAATAAGAAAGAAAAGTTTGACAATCGTGAGAACTATTATGGCACTTGTATCAATTAAATTTATCGTCGAAAAACAAACTATTATGTTTATTGCTATAAAAGACCCTAGGGATTACTAATAATGACGATTGAATTAAATCTGAGCAAAATGGGCTAAAAATATATAAATGTGGCCATGTTTTGCAGAGGGTAAGGTCATAAAATCAAACAGGGAAAAAATTGAAACTTTTAAAAGAACTTTTTCCTGGGTGGATGTAAAAAGTAAATAAATCAGGTTTATAGAAGGAGAAGAAACATAAATAAACGTGGAAAATGTATATCTGAAGCTTATATAACTGCATTTTTTCATGGAAAAAATACAAAAAGCATCTTTGAAAGTATACAAAAATTGCTGATATATTTATTGCAAAGGATTTTTGCAATTTGAACATTCCGTATCAATTGTTGTATACGGAAAGCGAAACAGCAAGATTGTGCACACCGAGATGATCTGGAACAATTGATCTGGAGGAATCTTTGCAGTTTTGTCTCAAAACAAGAAAGAAAAACGAAAGTTTTTTTTAACGCTTAAGGAATGTATGTTTATAAAGAGAAGTACTTAAGACAAGATGTTTCTATTAGTTTAACTTTTGACTTGGAAGAAATTATGGAAAAATTTCACTTTTCAAGCGATAAACATTTATACAATTTAACAATGCTTTCAAATTTTAATTTTTAAATGGATCATTTAATGAAATATATATCGTGATTCTTCGTAATTAGTTTTTTAAAAGTTTTAGGGTAAATTGTACAACCGATCTTTTAGCTTGTCGAGATTTAACACATATGCACAAAAATTTACCTCTTTTGTCCTATAATTCGATATTTTCCCCTTTTTATCTTAAGAAAATGGACCGTTCAGACCGGGTCTTGTGCGTGTTATTTCGTATCAATCGGAACCCCTCGACTTTGTTGGTAAACTATTCAGATATATACGCGCAAATATAACTCCCGCCGTTGTTTGTAGACAGTCAAACTTGGTAAGGGTCCAATAAGATCTGTTGATCTATTTTTGGCTAACCCGATTTTTCGTTCGAAATTAATCGCCTGAGTCGATACCAAAAAAAAACAAAAAAAAATATGGCCGATTCGAAAAAAAAACATCCAAAGCCCTTGACAGTTGTGCGACTTAAAAACTTATTTTTATTTCCTTCAAGGATCTTTAAGAAAATGGCGAAATTTTCTACTACAAAAATCTCTCCAGATAAAAAAAAAGTTAAAACTAAAAATATACATCTATCTGTGAAGAACTATCTAAAAACATGCAACACACGAAAAAACAAGTCTTAAGCGGCTGATATATTATTGATTTATAATTTATTAGAAAATAAATTACCTCTCCTTTTTGACTGAAAAATTAATTAAAAAATCGTATAAAATATGTAAATCACTGATAGAGCAATTCACATGAACCGGCTCGTTCGTTGTAGTTCGCGGACTGAGCTGTTTCGTATTATTAAGCATGCACTAGCGCTCTTGATTTCCCTGTTCTTACCCTAGCGTTGGCCATTCATGTCATTCCTAGTTTTTAAGTGTGGCTTAAACTGTCCAATCTTCGAATCTTCGATATCGTAAACTTTTTACATAAGATATATATTTTAAAAAAATTGAATACTGAAAGAAATAGAATAAAAACATACAGGAATCGCATATCTTCTTTAATTTACACAGACCGATCAAACATGAACTGTTTAATTTAAAAAAGTTATGAAAAAATTATTCTTGGCTTGCCATGGACAAAGTTTTATTCTAATCATAAGCTCGATTGTATTCCCCAAGGATATTTTTATAATTTAAAACTTAGAAAATTTATTGCATCACGATTTTTTATTTTCATAGAAAATAAATCCGAATATTTTTTTCTCTGTTGTTTTGTTTCTGGTCATTCAATTTTTAACCAGTATTACTTAAAACACACATGTAAATGATGTGTGTGTTGTGTGAGAGAAAGAGAGAGAATGATGAAAAAAGTAGAGGAGACGAGACAAGAGAAAATATGATAAAGTAAAATATGAAAATCTGTGAGAAGATGACCGAGGGAGCATGAGTGGGAGATAGGAGCGAATGAATGAGAGAAGATAGGTGAAAGTGAGTGAGAGTGAAGGCTAAAAAACAATCAGATACAAGATATCGGTATTTTAGATTGAAAGATAGATAGATGGATAGATAGAGAGAGAGAGACAGAAAGGGGAGAGGGGCAGAGAGAGAGAGAGAGAGAGAGAGAGAGAGAGAGAGAGAGAGAGAGAGAGAGAGAGAGAGNAGATTGACAAAGGAGAGAGTGAGAGAGAGAGAGAGGAGAGCGAGAGAGAGGGGGTGAAGAGGAAGGAGATGATAAAGTGAAAATCAAAGATGCAGGAAAGGAGGATAGAGATTGAAAAAATGAGAGAGAGAGAGAGGGGGTGAAGAGGAAAGAGATGATAAAGTGAAAATCAAAGATGAAAGAAAGGAGGATAGAGATTGACAAAGGAGAGAGTGAGAGAGAGAGAGAAAGAGAGTGTGTGTGTATGTAAGAGAGAGAGTGAAAGAGGAAGACAGAATTACAGAGAGGGAGAGTGAAGAAAATGAAAGAGAGAGAGAGAGAGAGAGAGAGAGAGAGAGAGAGAGAGAGTGAAAGAGGAAGACAGAATTACAGAGAGGGAGAGTGAAGAAAATGAAAGAGAGAGAGAGAGAGAGAGAAAACGAAAGAAGAAAGAAAGAAAGAGATGGAAAGAGAGAAAGAAAAAAGAAAGACAGAGAAGGGGAAGAAAACGAACGTAAGAAAGAGAGAGAAGGGGAAGAAAACGAAATAAAGAAAGAAAGAGAGAGAAAGCAAGAAAAAGAGAGAGAGAGAGAGAGTGAGAGGAGAGAGAAAGAAAGAAAGAGAGAGCTAAATAGCAATTTGTACGAATTAATTATCCTTATTTTATGAGGCTAGACCAATTCTTCTTCCTTCATATGCTTTATAAACCTTTTTAATAAGCTACATTGGCAATGAGACAACATAATGCAAACTATAAACGCTATAAAGACAAGGCAAATATTTATTAAACCTTTACTAATTAATCAACATCCTACTAGAAACTTAAGGAAAATGGCGAGTTTGGAAAAATTCCCACCATTTTCAAAGATCTTCCAACTTGTCATAATTTTCACTCGGCCGCAATAAGCTGCTATTTCACTCGAAAGAATAAATCAAGAATGAATTAATGATTTGTTTAGCATATCAAACAAAAAATGTGTACAAGTTACATGAATTGAAACGTGGGAAAAGGAATTGACAGCTCTGTCTCAATTTGTCAAACAGGTTCATTCTTTATTTCTTCTGTAGGAAATATTTGGCTTTAGAATAAAGAGGTGTCGTTCAACAATATCGATCAAATAGTTTCCAAAAACTAGGAGAGGTGGAGGAAGACTTTTTTTTCCTAGTTTAATCGATCCAATTGCCACTCTCCGGGGTCTCTCACCTGTGACCTGCCAACCGGCACTTGTGATTGTCACTCGGAAAAAACGCAACCGGCACGGCCCCATCGCCGTATTGAAAAGTCTATTTTACCACAAAGAAGGAAAGAAAGGCGTCAGTCTTTGCCAAGTTCGTCGACAGAACGTCGGCCAAGATGTGTAAAAATAAGATCGAAAGTGATGTCACCGTTTATATTTTCCTTGCACTTTTCCCACAAGAGATTTACTCTTCGTTTGGCCACTTAACGACGATATGAAAGACTTCTTGAAAAGTTTTAAAATCAACCAATGAATCATAAAGGATTTTGCCTTTCACGAAATATGAATTAATTATAGGGTTTAAATCTCATGGATAAAAATCTACTCTCCACTAGGAAAATGTAGACCTTTTTTTTATAGTTACCTATCATCCAGGACTGCTTAACCTGGCAAATTTTTGTTAAGCCAGAAAGTTTCGGCATTTCACGGGTCAAAGATGTAAGTCCTGTGATGTGTATCTTTTTTTCCGCCCAAATGTAAACTCAACAGTCAGTAATTTTCTTTTTAACAGGTTCAAAGATAAGAAAACGATGATAAATACTTTCAGATCGCTACCACTTATTTACCAGGGCCAAGAATGCTGAGTGAAACAAAACTTATCAAAAATGAAAACAATAAAAAAAAAAATTATGCGCTAGGAAGCGTTTCTTATTGCGCAGTTTTGTTCCAATATCCAGCATTTTATTAACAATAAAACATACCAAAAGGATAAATAAAATGACGCTTCTTTTGGACAGGATTGCAGGATTGATCATGCTTTATTTTCATGTCCAATGTGTGTTGAAAACTAATAAATGACGGTTTAACAATAAATTTTATAAAATGAAAACCAGAACCTAATAATCGTTTAAACCAGAGAGGATAAATTTAAATCGTCAGGGTTAAATACTGGGGAAAATTTTAAAAAGGATTTCTTACTTTAAAAGCATAGAATGCTGATTTTAATGAATATGAAAATCATATAATTTTTTAATTTTCCTCATTGGGGGTTGTTTTAGCGTAAGTTTACTGTAATCCTGGTAATCCTAGAACCCCTAGGATTATCCATTTTTCTTTTTTAATTAGTGTTCTCAAGTGGTAGAGCAGCGGCGTATCAAGCCGAAGATCGCGAGTTCGAATCCCGCTCGTGACACTGACTTTTTTATCTCAACTAAAAACCTTAATTAATTGAAAGATATTAATTGGTCAAGCGGACCACGAAAACTAGTGATTTTAATAAGTTAAAATGAAGTATATCTTCACTAAAGCTCTCCGTGGCCATTTCATTTGTCGCCGAGAATCAAATAGATTACACATTTGAAAAATGGCAAAAAGAGGGAAAATTAAAAAAGGTGGGGTTGAGATGGAAGTTAGTGTCCCAGTGGATGAGGTCACGACAGTTCAATTGGTAGAGTAGCGTCGTATCTAGCCGAAGATCGCGGGTTCGAATCCCGCTCGTGACACTGACTTTTTTATTCAACTAAAAACCTTAATTAGTTGTAAAGAGTGTTTCCGTGATCGGGTAAAAATTCGTAACCCCAAAAAAACCTAGAACAGAAATTTTGTGAGACTTACAAAAAATGGTTCCGAATTTTATCCATAGTCCCAAAAACGGTAATAACTTTGAAACGGCCCCGTCCTTCTACAGGAAACTTTAACGGACTTTAGAAAATTAAAAACAAATGGCAATTTAAAATTGCCCGGCCTCTTTAAAATAAATCAAAACTAAAGTTTTAAAAGAAAAGTTGGAGTTATTTTTCTCCCTTGTAATTAGATAAAATCAAAATATTGTCGAAATAGCCTGAAATATAAAATTATTTGAACGGATTAGATAAAATCCAGAGGAGTGAATTTTGGGTGGAACAACCCCAATCGCAAAAATGTATATTTTTTATAGCAATGAAAATTCGTGTTTAATGGTTTTACATAAAACAAATCCGATGTTTTTTTTTCAAAAACCATTTTTTGTCTACTTTAAGAGTCTTTTAGTTAAGCAAATTTTGATATATTCAGCCTTATTTAATACAATCCGGCATAGTACTTACTTATTCTATGCAAAAATACAATCCTACTGATTTACAATATTCTTGAAATACTGCACAACGAAGATAGAAAACTATATTTTAAAAATGTACATAAATTAGCTAAAATATTATTTATTTCTCGGCTCCTTGGACCTCAGACAAGTGTCGACCGGGCGTAATCAACAAAAGTTTCATTAAAATCGTCTTCATCAGCATTGTTTCTCTTTAAAGCAAGAAATTCTTTGTAGTCGATCTCAGAACACCTTGTTCTTATTGCTGTTTTTAAGACGTTTAGACCCGCATGCCCGGTAATTTATCATTGTTTTCTACCTAAATAATTTTATTATTGACCATTATTGTTAATATATGAACCTTCTCTTTGTGAACAGAACTAAATATTATTTGTTGGGGTTAATTTCTTGACCGAAATCAGAGCACGTGTCTTCTAGTATAGAAGACTGTCCGAATTTTAAACCATAAAACGAAGATTCTTGTTTTTGTATATATGAAAAATGGAGAGGAAATTGTTCAATGCTTCAGCTTATGAGTGGGTAATTATAAATAATAAGTCAAATTCGGCAGATTTCTGGAAGAGTTAAATACAAACATATTTACCATATTAAAAAAAATCACACTGATCTAATTTTTTTTGTTCCATAAGTCAATTTTTTCCTTCAAGTAAAAAGCAAAACACCATTGTTTTCAATATTTAACTTCCAAAATAGGATTCAACTAATACTTTTACTATTTTTTTTATTTTTATATATATGTCAGAAAGTGACTTTTGTTATATCCTTCTGCCCGAAGGATTTCGATCCAAATGACCCAGTTGGCGAGATCTAGGACGCTAAGTTGTGACTTCATGTGTAAAGAAAGTGAATCGCCTCTGCCACAGTACGAAAATAACTATGACAGGGATTTTTTTTACAAAAGAAAAAAAAAGATTTTCTATTAAATAACTCGAACATATAACATATACATCTAACTTTTATATATATCGCCTCGACATGCGAACCAGCCAATTGAATACAAGGATTTATTTGAAATATAAAGAAAGGACAAAAAGCTTTAAATGGATTAAAATAAAACTTATTTCTATTTTTATCACTCGATTCAAGATCCTGCTTATAGGGATGAGCACTAGTCATGCCGTCATCTGCTGAATATCTGTCCAAGGTCAAACTGAGACATTATATGCCACGAGACAATTAATTGCTATGGATTAATAATTTTTGTGTTGTATACATGAGTCACTATTTAATAATTAGGTTTTTATCGTATAATTAATACAATGATAATGTTCAACTCGAAGGTAACCCGTCGAAAATTTAGTCATTGCGAGAAGTAGATCATTATATAAATCGCAGATTTTTCTTTTCCCATTTTTGAATTATTTTGGGCTGATTTTTGTTTGAAAAATTTATATTCTAATTAAAAGTCCTGCTCTTTTTCTCCAATATGTTAATTCATACAATTTTTAGGTATTACAAGTATAAGATTAAGTAATGGTATTGTATTGATCTAATGAGTGATTATCTCTGATCATACTGGCCCTCCTATTCTCTCAGTTTTCATTTCAGTATTTTGGCATTTTCAGCGGTTCGTCTGTGCCTGTTCAAACAAAGATGGGAAAACTCGCAAACTGTATTTTGCATTTATTCGGATTTCGAGCTCTTAAATGCTCATCGTCAGACTTAATAAAATCTACAATTATAGAGTATTACTATAATTAGTAATTCCCGAAATTGAATTGCAAGCAATGATTTATGTTGAAAAACGTGTAGATTTTATTCAGTCTGACGATGAGCATTTCAGGTATCAACCAGATAACTGTGAAAAAGAGTAGAACACACACACACACACACACACACACACAAAATCACTTCTTTCAATAAATAGTCATACCCCAGCGAATGCCACATATGAAGGGGTTTTTATGTGCAACCATAAACTTGTATTAACTTCAAGGACTCCTAACATTATTTTATTAATTTGTTAAATATCATGGTGGTCTGCAAGGTGTTTGATCTTGAATGATTTATGATTATTCGGCAGATGATCAGAGATTATCTAGCTACTTATTTAATACCTCATGATCTTCTCTAACTCACAAAAGATTAGAGCTAGAATGTTTACAAAGTTTACAGCGTTTAAATTTTCAGGTAAAAATAAAATATTTGCACTGAGAGGCAAAAACTATGGCCACTTTTTTCCCTCCCTCTTAATAAATATTTGCAATTGTTATAATTTTTATTTTTTGTTGTTTATTGGATATTTAAAGAAAAATATAAGTAAAATAAATAAAAATTTAAAATGAGTACAACAATTTAAAAAAAATTGTTATGAAAACAAAGAAGAAAATATTCAATTTAGTATGAAGTATTTCCTCCTCTTGCATTGATAACCTCTTGTATTCGATCTGGCATCAATTTTATTTGTTTTGAATATTGTACTGTAAAATATTTTCATACTCCTCCGTCAGCACCATTCTTAAATTCTACTAATTTTCTTGCATTAAGTGCGACTTTTTGTCCTCTTTGACAACTCATCCAAAAGATGTTCAATATGGTTTAAGTTGAGACGCTGGCACTCCAAACATTGAATTGAAGCCTGTTCAAACTATCACCAATGATCCTAGCTGTGTAGGGTCTCGCATTGTCATGCATAAAAAACTAAAACGATTGCCAACTGATAACAAGGGATCAAGTTTGTACGACCTTCCATAGAAATGCCTGCTCAAACCATAACACACCATCTCCATAGCTTCTCCGGAGTGACAATTTTTCTGGGATCGCTCTCCTGTTCTTGTCTAAACTCACCCTTGGCCATCAGGGGACCTCAAACAAAACTTTAACTCTTCCAAAAACAAGATTTCAGTCCAAGCTTGGTGAGACCAATTAATGTGATTTCTTGCGAAATTTAACCGATCTGTTTTGAGCTTCAGAAGTTCTGGACTTCTCACAGGTAATTCAGCTTCTGAAAGTCTTTATCTTACAGTGCATAAATGATGCTAACATTTCTAACTTTTTGAAGTTGTTGCTTGATCTCAACAGCGGTAGAATGTCAATTTTGGTACATTCAAAACAATAAAAGAATCCTCTCTGAGATGTGACACGATGGCGACCTGAGGCTGACCTCAAGCCTTCTTGAGCACCCACCAGTACCTTGGTAGTGATGGAAGACACTTCTGGGAATATTAAGCACCCTGGCCATATACGCCATCTTCCATCTTCTAACAATTCTATGATTCTAGCCGAAACTGCATCACTTAAAACCATCACGCAAACAAATTTAAAACTTGAGAATAGTACAACTTAAAAAAATCAAATCAGAGGAACGTTAGAAAGAAGCTTTACAGAAAACCCAACAAAGAAGAGACTGCCTATTCAACGATTTATTTACAAAATCCAATTGTAAAAACAAGTGAGATTTTATTTGTGATTTATTTACTTCTAATCTCATAAAATGGACCAAATATTGTTGCAAGATAATCTATTGAGGATTGTCTAAGAGGTAATTAAAAATATTAAGGGTGGCCATTTTTTTTTGCCTTTCAGTGTATTTACCAATTCTGAGCGTTATGCTCAAGTTAAAAACTACATTGAAATAACATACCTCAGATATATATGTGAATGTATGTATCATAAAAAACAACGAAGTATAATGTAATGTTATTGATAATAATTTTGAAAAGCTGTTTTTTTTTTTGTTATAAAATATTAACTCACTTTTGGTGGCGATTTTGAGCAGATGAAATTGCTGTTTCCACATCATCACATGCTGCTGGGGAAAGCGCTTTCAAGAACAAAAGAACTGGGCTGCTTAACTGGACTAAGTCATTCTTTTTACTCTCAAGAGATTTTAAAGTATCACATAGCCCCTAAAAAAAATTTTGTTTAAAAAATTAACATTCGATAATTAGTTTAATTTGTTTTTCAAACTAAAGAGAAAAAATACCTCAAGTATTTTTCGTGTATCTTCAAGTTGTTCCTTTGATCTTACATTGGTATCAGTATGATTATTTTTATCTTCAACTGCTGTAATTTCTGTATCAAAATGATGCAACTCATGGTTGAATTCCTAAAAGAAATAAATGATTATGTTAATAATAAAAATCCACAGGGAGGCTGTTTGTCACCCCTTTTATGGCTAATTACAGTAAACAGCTTAATAGAACTTCTGAATAATTCAGGCTTCTACAGTCAATTATTTTCAGATGATGGTACCATAATGCTCACAGGTAGGGATCCCCTGACTCTTTCACTACTGATGGAAAACGCCATGGGATTACTTTATGGGTGGTGTAGTGACAAAGGTTTATCAATTAATCCTGCTAAACTAGAATTGATAATGTTTAGCAGGAGAAGAACATTAGGNCAAAATCTTGGGGTTTGTGAACAAGTCCAAGAGGTTTATGCAGGACACGTGAGCCGACCAAGTCCCGGACCTTTTAGGGATGGGGTACGAGTCTACCCAGGCATTTAACCCCTTGGGTCTTGGTCGCCCACCTTGCATAATATATATAATAAAAATAATTTAAATAATATAGGGTCAAATTATTGTTCCTCACCTCCCAACGTTTTGCCAGTTGAGACAGTGTCTCCTTTCTCGATTCCAGATCATTCTGTAGTTGGTTCCATTCATCATTTAAATTAGCAACTTCTGAGCCCACTGCAGCTTTACTGTTAGGATCGAGGAAAGTTTCTAACTCTCGTTGGCGTTCGTTTAGAACATCAATGTAAGGTTGGTGATTCTGTAATGTCACATTTAAGATATAAGAAAACTTAAAGTTCAATAATTGTTTTAACTCTCACCTTGGCTTCGGCTAATGCTTGATTGATTTTTTCAATATTGAACATCAGCCCACCCAAAGCCGATGCTGGTTCGTCCGTGAACCTAATCCTTTGTAGAACAGACTTTGCATTTGAAAGCGAGTCTTTATACAGATCGTGAAGTTCAATCGCTTGTGTCAACTTTGCCTGATATGATTTGGCCGTGTTTAAAGTATTTCTGAGCAACTGTGTACAATCTTGTTGCTGTTTACTAATTAATTCTTGATCATCGGAATTAAGTGAAGGAAATATGTTTTGCCCTGCCTTGTGAATGTCTATTGACACCAGGTCATGAAGACTTTTTTCATCGCTGAAGAATTTCTAAAATTTAAATTTTACATTAGCCAAGTACATTCATGAAATGTTTAAACGAATAAAATTTTACATTGTGATGGTTTAGTAAATTTTGCATCTCTTTTATGTTGAAACCTTGGTTTGAACTTTGTAGTTGTTTATTTGAATTTTCTGCCCATTTGAATAATTTTTCACGCAATCCCTCATAATTCAGACGATAGCTGTGGAAGGAATAATTAAGTTATTTTGTATTTTACGCTTAATATAATTATCATACTTTTTGTTTTCTTCTAAATATTTCTCCCTTTCTTTTAGTTGTTTCGGAATTATATTGAGAAGAGAGGATGCTTCACTTAATCTTTCTTGTAAAATGTCTGGCAATCCTTCTTCATGCTTATAAGCATTCACTAGTTTTTGAACATCACCAAGATATTTTTCAACATTCGCAGCTAGGACCTTTAATCAAAACAAAAAGTTCAGCTTAAATTCTCGTTTGGAGTATTAATTTGGAAACTTTACCTTATGATTCTCTTGTTCTCGGTTGACACTGTCCACTGTTATGTCAAGCAGCGGTCTTTGTTTCACTTCACTTTCGTTTGAATGAAGCCAGTTGATGAGTAAATCAAGGTCATTTGCAGCTTTGAGATGTTGCTGAGCAGCTTCTAGAAGTTTCTGTTTTTGAGTTTCAACAGCCCGTCGAAGTTCATGGAGCTGTTTCTTCAATGACTGCAACTGCTCGGTTATGCTATTTCTATCTGCTGCTGAGCACTGTTTGGCTATTTGTTCACCCTTGTCAGTAGCTGATGCCAGAAGAGCCTCGCAAGATTGAATTTTTAAAATGACCTATGATTTTTGTATGTTAAAATTGTAAAATTATAAAAAAAATTAAAATATAAACTTAATTAAAATACCTCATCATATCTTTTTATTTTATCAGCTGTCGGTTGATTTGAAGCTTCGATTTCAGTAATGATGGGAGTATAGGTCGGAATAAAACGGGTGATTTCTGTAATTAGAGCGATGAATTGTTCTCTGAGCAAAAGAAGATCTCTCAAACGTGCTATTTCATCTTCCAATAATTTGATTAAATCTTGGAGGTTTAGATGAACGGCAGCAAGACCTTCGATGTCCTCTCCACCAAGATTGGCCTTCCAGTCTTTGAGTTCATCGACTAGTTTCTGATATTCATCGATTATACCTTGCACGTCTTCAACTTTGCTACCAACAGGCTTGGAAAGATCTTTCATGCGGTCTTGTACGTTTGCCATGAGAACATTTGATTTATTAACCTTTTCTTTGATCTAAAACAAATTTAAAATATAGTTTATGTCACAATATATTGTAATATGCTAAAATATTTCAATTTACATCTTTGAATTTTCCCAAAGCTTCTCCAAGCGCTTGGACTTTTTTCGCTATGTCCGAAGCAATTTTCAGCCTCCTTTGTTCCAACCTTCTCAAGTTGTCATTCACAGTCAACCTGTCTGCATCGCTCAAAACCATATTAGCGGCTGTTTTCTCTTGATCTTTTATATCATTTTTGGCTTGTTCACATTCAGCATTCAACTTTGAGTACTGCAATAATAAAAAAAAATGTATAAAAAAACTTTAATTTCTGAAATAGAGAAAACTTTATGTTACCTTGCTCAATTGCTCTTCTATGACAGCTAATGATGGTGCTCTTATATCAGCAGAAAGAGCGACTTCGGCTTGATCAAGCCATTGTTGAATTTTGTCATTCTTTCCTTCAAAGTCCTGCCTGTTATCCAAAAGTGATTTTAACCATTTATCCCTGTCTTCTGATTTCTTTATTACTTTCAAATGATCTTCTTGCATATCTAGTACAGAAAAAAACACATTGTTTATAAAATAATTTTAAATTGATTGCTGTGCTTACCATTAATAATTGCTTGTAGAGCTTCTCTTTCAGGCCCTTGACAATCTTTGAGCAATGCACTAGCCTGCTTTTGCAATGGATTAAGCTCTTCCTCTCCAAATTTTTTAACATCTCTAATATAATCCTAAAAAAATAGAAAATAAAAAACATACATTAAAAAATAAAGCAAAAAATTCCAGATGGATTGTTAAACACTTACGTTATTTTGATTCATAAGCCTTTCCACAGATGATGTATATAGTGGTTCATATCGGTCTCTCGGCGAGAGTTGATTTGAAAGAGATTTCATTTTTTCTCTCACTTGTTCTTGCCTTTTCTCAAAAGCTTTACGAGCACCCGATGCTTCCTTGGCCTTCTCTGATGCAGCCTTAATTTCATTGGTTAAATCTAAATGAAAAACATGAAAATTGTTAAATTTGATGTAATATTTCTTTTATATACGAGAGGAAAAAGGCAAAATATGTTACCTCCAATTGAAGATCTAAGATTATCTATTTTACAAGATACTTCAGTGAATTCAAATGGTAGTAATTCGCTTGAGATGTTATTCAAACGCTTCTCACACGAATCACACATTGCCTTTTTGCCATCTGCTTCTTTTAAAAGGTTCTAAGAACAGGAAAAATTATTTATTTAGCTTAAACTTGATTTAAATAAACTTCATTGACTTACTTTAAGTAATTGAACTCTGTCTTCTGATGATTTTGGTTCAAATCCAAGAGGAGGCTGGTTACGAATGAAATTCTTTTTCTCGTCGACCCAAGTCTTAGCTTGTTGAAGTTCATCATTGATTCCTTTAAGTTCATCCTGCGCTGTATTGAGTACTTCTCTATTTCTTTGGATTCTTTTACCAAGATCATTAAAGCGTTTTTCAATTGACTTCAACTAAAAATTTAAATTTAATTTAAACACTTTACTCAAGTAAATAATTTTTTTTTTTAGATTCATACCTGATCTTCGACTTGAGGGACATCAAGGTTACTTATGATGTTCATAATGTTCTCAGCAAGTTGTTTCAAATGGCCGAGCACATTTTCTCTCTCTTTTTCATATTCCTTTGATATTCCATCAAGGTTATTTAGTCTTTGTTGCAAAGCAAATCCGTGAGATTTATCGACACCTTCTAGTTGTTTGACTAAACCGCTAATCTTTTGCTGTGCTGCTGCATGAGCAGATCTGTATAATTCAACTTCATTCTCATCATGTTGTTTACCCGCAAGTGTATTATTAAGCTAAGGCAAATTCATAAATTAATAATTTTCAACATTTAATATAGGTAGTTTATAATAATTACAAATTCTTCAAGGTAGTCTAATTGGGCAGCAACGGCATTACTGCGATCGCCTTGTGGCAACTCCATCAATAAACGATTCCTATTATCATTAATGCCATTTTGAACTAGGCCCATTGCAGCTAATTCTGTTTTCGCTGCTTCAGCTCTTAGTTTCCAAGGCTTATTTTTCCAGTCTGCGACCACATCTCTCTGTTGGCCAATCCAGTTTTCAAGTTGTATTAATTGTTTGTCCTTTTCTTCAAGGTCTTGGACAGCTTGATTTAGATTGCTCAATCTACCCTCAACCTAAAATAAAACAAAGACTTTTATGATCTAATAATACAGAATTGTTTAAAATTAAAACAAAAAAAAACTTTTAAACTATTAAACAAAAATCAAAACAAAAAAGCGTATAAACTTACCTTTTTGGACAGGTTATAGATTTTTTTAATATGTCCTGGTTTTTTAAGCTCTCTAAGTATCTTACGGGTACGAACTACCTCAGGATCTTGAATGGAACCTTTACTCTTTAAAATAAAACAGTGCACAAACACATGCAAAAATTATTAATGAAATCAGGAAAACAAAACAAAAAAATCATGCAAAATAAAAACACATTAGTGTAGTAGTTTAATAAACATGAGCATGCTTTAAGCTTATGTATTAAGTACCAGATCTATTAAGTCTTCCAGCCTTATTCTGACATTCAGTTCTTTATCAGGAATTGGAGCTGTCGATGGGTCAAGAGGACTGGAAGGTCTCGAGATAGATGCTGCTGCTGCTTCACAAGCAGCAATTGCCATACTGAGCCTTGATTTTTCACCCTGAAGCTTATTGTGCACTGCCTAAATTAAATAAAACATGTATAAATATATTTTTTTAAATATTTAGTTTGTAATTAATACTTTGTGTTTATCAAGTTGTTCCTTCGCTTCTTTGAAATCAGACGATGGTGAGAATTCTGTCCCAAGATCAACTTCTATTTCGTCAAGTTTCAACATAATGCTTTCTAATGTCCTTTCATATTCTAAAAATTTCTCAAGCGATTCTTCAAGTCTTGACTTAATCCTGTTCGCCGACTGAAGCAGTGAATCGTAGCTTTCTTGTACATTTGTCAGCTGTTGTTCGATTGTTGGTTTAATTTGTGGTGTCGTTTTGATGTATCTTTCAATTTGACAATAGCCTTTAGACCTAAGATCATTAAGATTTTGTTGATATCCGAGAATATCTGCTAACAGTTCGTTGTGCATGTCGATCTGTTCAAGCGTTTGGTCTTTATTGGTAATGCACAATGAATTGTGGGCCATTAATTGGAATGAAATCTTGAGGAGCCATTTTTCAATATCTTGTAATGATTGATGGTATGCAGTATGGTCTCTCATCTCAGCTTCTAGTCCTTCTCTGATCGATGAGCATAAACTGTCGATGTTCTTCCATTTCGCAACAAGTACTTCCACTTTATCAGTGGCATCAGGTGAGTTCGACCATGCTCCTAGTTCAACCGATTCAGCTTTCAATCTGTCCAACTCATTTTTCAAGCTCATCAAATCACTATTGATATGCTTCAATCTGAAACATTAAATTTTTTGTAAATCAGAGAATTTTTTTTAAATATAAAAAGCTTTACCTTTCCATGATTGTTTTCATCTCTCCTAGTTCAGCTTTTGTATTGAATTTTTCCTGCAGTTTGTTTTCATTCGCTGTAAGAGATTGGTCCATTCTACTGAGACCATCATAGAAGTCATCCCATCGACTTAAAGCGGCATTTAATTGTGCAGTAACTGCTTTTAGATCGATCGTCAGTTGTTCCCATGAATTATGAAGTTCTGCGACTGTTTCTCTTAATGACTCCTGCTTATCTAAAGGAGTACAATCTAGTGCACGTTTGAATATGTCTTCCATCACCGACATCTTATGTTGGCCTTTAAAAATTACTCATTATTTGTTAAATTCTACTTTTATCGATTTAATAATTTACCTTCTGTTATCCTATTTGTGACGAGATTAATAGTATGAAGGCTTTCTTTAAGCCAAGCTTGATTACCATTACCAATGCAGTCTTTGACCGTACCATGAGCTCTTTGTAACCACTGTTCTAAATCATCTTTAGCTTTCAAGAATTCTGTATGGTCTGACAAGTTCTTCTCTGCTCTTGAAAGAAGTCTAAAATGTTCAATTTTAGCGTTAATATTTAAATTTTATTTATTAGAATAGAATAGCTTACTCTTGCACTGTTGTAAACAATTCGGCATATTCTCCCTGCCATTTGACAGTCTCATCTCTAACCCAGTTGCAGGCACATAGTTCAATAAGAACTTCACATTTGTCACTGAGTTCTTCGATCGCTGGTTTCTTGTTGTTCAATTCTTCCAAAAGTCCTCTGACTCTTTCCAAATCACTTGTGTTTCTAGATTGATTGTCGTCCTTTGCAAGTTGCTCTTCAGCTTCGACCTTAGGTCTGAACTGAACCAGCCATGTTTTGACGACGTCTTTAATCGTTGTGAATTCTTCCCAGCTGGATAGGCATTTGGATATGTTGAACTGGTTGTCCCTAAGCAGGTTCTTGAGCGATTCAAGGCTTAATTTGAGTTGCGAAGAATCGTTCTTTATCAGATCTCTACTGTCAGGACCAACTTTGCCTATTATAGATTCTCCCTTATCGACTGCATTCATAACCAGATTTTCTCCTATTTAAGGAAAAATTATTTTCAAATGTTTCAACATAACAGCAATGAAATTTTACCTTTGTTGAATGTAAGAGCAATTTCAGCAAGTTTGTCATGCTGATCTTTAATAACTTGTTTCTCTCCGTGTGAATCCGAACACTGTTGGATGGAGATTCTTGTCTTCCTTACCCATTCAACTGCATCATTGTGAGCTGTTAGGTATTCATCGTAATCTTTCACTTCATTTTCAAGTTCTTTCACAGTGGTTGATACCTATTATTAAAATAAAATTTAAAATAATATTTATAATTAGTTTGTAAAATGTCAACTTACTAAGTTTTGAAGTGCTCCATAATCATCTAAAGTCGATTGGTAAACTTTGGAAGGAATGGATTCATTTTGCAGGCGATGTTTTATTTTATTTACCTATAGAAAAAAAATTGTTAATAATGATGACAAATAATGTCTTAGAAATATATACTTACTAGTTCTGATTGTGATTTGATTTGTCTTGCAATGCCTTTGAACTTTTCAAGTTCTGCCTTTGTATCAGAAATATCGCTGCTGTCTCCCCTGATAGCCTTAAGTTTCATCTCAGCAATCCAGTCCTTGAGTGTGTTATTGAGTTTGTGAATATCTTCCAACTCTGAACCTCTCGCAGTAAGAGTTTGCCTTAGGTTCTGTTTAAAAAAAAAAAAAAAAAGATTTAATTTACTGATTTTTATTTTTTTAATATAAACGCATGTACCTGGACATCGACGACGAGTCGTTCAAACTCTTGTTTCAAAGATTCGCTATCTTCTTGGATTTTGGGAATACCACTTTGTTCTGTGTTGAGAATGACCTTTTCTTTCAATTCGAGCACATATCTGAGACTGTTTTGTCCTTGCTCCAAAGCCTGCTGAAGACCTTTGACACATTCTAACCTTGAATTGACTTCTTCAATAGTGTTTGGTATTTTGCTGCAGTCATTAACCTGCATGTAAAAATTGGTAAGCAAATAGAAATATTAATTTAAAAGAAAAGAAAAGAAAAAAGTACTTTGTCTCTGATTTTATCAATCCATTGCTGTCGTTCTTGATACAAAGAATTATGCTGCTGGTGTTCTTGGTAGTGCAATTCTAACCTCTTCATTACTAAATTAGCCAAAGAAATTAGAGCATTATATTTTGTGGTGAGCTGCATCATAGCATTTGATACTCTTGTATCAGCACAAGTTTCAAGAAGCAACTGGAAATAAATAAAAGTTGTACATATTTATTTACCCAGAAAATTACACAACCTTGCATACTTGAGCTTTAAGATTTAGATTATCAAGCTGATGTTGCCATTCGAAGAGTGCTTGCAATTTTCCTTGGAAAGCTTCGAGGGTAGCCATTTTTTGTTCAAGAGTACTTTGAAGTTTATTGAAAGTCTGGACTGATTGTTCCGTCTGACTTAACCATTCAACAGCTTCCTTGTATTGTTCTTCGTATTCATTCCATCTGATTATTCCAGACTGGAAAATATTACACAAGTTAATATGTATGTTGAGATTACATTAATCAATAAAGTTGGTTTTGAACCATTCTTACCTCCAATAATTCTTTAGTTTGGGTCAGGTTTTCAACATAATTATCAAAATCATCTTGGAGAAGAACAACTTCTTGTTCTATGACTTCTTTATCCACAGGATCAGCAAGTGCACAAGCAACTTCTCCAAGCTGCAAAGCTACTTGGAGTTTAGCTTCTCCTTCGGGCTTTTCATTTTGTAAAATCTGTATTTAAACATTTTAATTTAAATCATAATTTGACTGAATAAAAATTAAGAAATAATTTAGTTTTTAAATAATATAAAATTTACCTTAAGATGGGTAAGTTTCGTTGTGAGTGATTCTTTATCACCTGTTGGTTCTGCATGTTTGCTCAAACGCTCCTTTGCCGATCTAACCCATGCATCAAAATCATGAGCGGCATCTCTGAAAGCTTCTTGACGTTCAATGGTCTCTTTTTGTTTTTCATAAAGTTCCTTAGCAGTTTTTCTTAGGGTTTCGTATTCATTTGTTATTTCTGAAGCTGGAGCAGCTTGCTGGAGGTCTTCGGCTTTAGAAGTTACAGACTGTATCATTGGTTCATATGATACAATATCTTGAACGATGCTGTTTGTCTGGCGTAGTGCTGCTTTACGTTCTCCGATGCTTAATAGACTCAAACCTGCTCCAGTGGCTTTTGTTTTTGTCACTTTAGGTTCGCTGACTTCCAACAGCTTAGCACCGCTGTCCGAAATCAGCTGTCTCATGTGTGTATAAGAAGAATTGTAATCAGCCCATTGCAGAAGATTCGTTTCCAACTTAACTTTAGCTGTTGAAATCTTCTTAATCAAACGTTCCCATTCAGCTTGTATTTCTTTGAGTGCATTGGTAATCTCTTCTCTACCATCACTTCTTGTCATTCTCAACACCTTCTCGCCACAGTTGACAGTGACATGAACCAAGTTCTGCCCTTCTTCTCTTCTGTTATCCAACTCCTTTAAAAATTATACAGTTTATTTATTTTTATATTAAATTAATGAGAAAGATTGATATGGCAAAAACAAAATACCTGAATTTTAGCAAGACGTTTACGCAGTTCGTCTTTATTTGCTGTGGATGCTGATGAACTTGTTTCACTAATGATTTCTTTTGCGTCTTCAAGCCATTTCCGAGTTTTGCCCAAATTGTTAATGTATTGTTCATGCTGTTCACAATTAGTTTCAACTTTTCTCAATACATCTTTGGCCAAATTAACTTGAACCTTAAATAAATTGAATTATTTATAAATCATTGATTTAAATATTTACTAAAAAAGAATTCAATGAATAAATAAACGATAAATAAATTACAAACACACCTCATATCTGGAATTTAAATGTCTAAGTTGACTATTGACGTATGTATCAAGATGTGAAGACAGCAAAGGTGCAGCAGTCTGGTTGATTTTAGTCAATTGATCTTTGCCATCTTCCAAATTTTTTAAGATATCCTGTAACAACGTTGTTTTAATGCTTTTCTTATAAGGGTTTTATTATTATCAATTGAAAAATGTAGAAGAAATTACCTTAACAGTAGAAACTTGTTTTTTCTTTTCATCTAATGTAGCTAAAAGAGCAGTTTTTTGTGCTTTGATGTGAATATCCATTTGCTGTAGCCAATCGGATATTTTCTCATATTCGTCCTTGTAATTTCTCCAAAGAACAACCATAGATTCAAGCTGTTCCTTTTGTGCTTGTATTTCTAAAATAACCCAATATGAATATTTTTTTTTTTACTTAAAAGAAAAACTCATACCTTTGAAAAGATTGTGGAAGCTTTCTGTCAATGCCTTGACATCATTGTTGATCAATTGTTTGCCTTCTTCTGAAGAAGAAGCTGCTGCGACCCTTCCTGTCGTTTGAACTTGTTCTACTAAAAGTTCTCCTTGGGCTCGCTTGTTAAGCAGCGCTTGAAGAGGAGCAACGCAGTCTTCAATTGCAAGTTTGTCACTAAGTGATTGCTGTTTGAGGGCAGGAAGCTTTTCTCTGGCCCTGTTCAGCCAGCCGGTTAACTCGTCTTGAGCTTCTTTAAAGTTTCTGTGCTCTCTGAATTGCTGTTCTCTCTCAGAAAGAAGTGCCTGGTTTTAATTATTATTATGATTATTACTTATTTGCTGAATGCACAAATAATTTATTTAAAAAAAATTACCCTTATTTTTTCCGAAATGTTGTCAAATTTCTGCAAAATTTGTTGTGCCTGGGTTGCTGCATGATTTTGCTGACCACTGGCAAGCATTTCAGCTGATTTAGACTTAAGACTGTCAACTTCTATCTTTTCGCATCTTACTTTCTCTTCTAGTGCCTATAAAAATTACATAAAAATTAACAACTATTAATTTTTTTTTAAATTTAACTCAAACCTTAATTTTGCCAAGTTGCGTCCTTTTTTCTGTAAATGTTGTTTGAAAATTAGCAACTTCATTATAAGAATTGCAGAGATGTTCGACGATTTTGTTGAGCTGTTGAATCTGTTCAAGAAAGCCTGCCCATTTTTGTATACACTCGTCAAGCAACGACTGAAATTTAATTCTTATTTAGTAACTAAAATCTACAAAACAGGGTTAATTTAAATACCTTAGTATCAACGACTTTTGTAACTAAACAACTCCAATCTTGTTGAAGAGCTTCGAGTGTATCATTGATTGCTTCATGTCCTTCTGGGGCAGTATTCGCCAAAACGCTTTGACCCATTTCAATGCAACTTTGAACCCGGACAAACCCTTCATCTTTGCATAGCAATAAATCCTGTAAGACCAGCACAGTTATACAACGGTTGTTAGCAAAAAAAAAAAAAAAAAAAATTACTTGAATAATTTCTAATTTTGATTCAAGATCCTGCTGTGACGATGCGCTCAAATCTGAGCAGTATTGAAGTCTTGTTTTAATTCCATCGAGCCACTGTCTGGCTTCAGCAACTCCACTGTCAAAGTCCAAATGTCTTGATGCGTATTGTTGCCACCTGCTTGTCAAATCCTAAAATCGCAAATTATATGTTAATTTATTTGATTAGAGTTTCTTTAAAAGTGGCACAAAATTTCTTCTTACCTTCACTTTTCCTGATAGCTGTTGATATTTATGCTGAAGTTCTGTTATATGCGAATTCCTTGTTGTTGGCTTATGAAGCTGTTGGGCTTTTTCTGTGACAGCATCTATCTCAAGTTCTTTAGCTCTTATTTCACCTTGGAGTGCCTATGAATTCAAAATTAAAAAAAAATAAAATAAAATAAAATAAAATTGAATTAAAGCATGACTTTGTTTTGTTCTTACTTTCAATATTTCTAGTTGTTTCTTCTTTTCATCAGCAGTAGCTTTCAAGTCAATGGCATGTAATTTTGTGTCTGTTACTCTAAGCCAGGATAAACATTCATCCTTGAGGGCTTCATATTCAGACCATTGCTGAAGTTTAGACTCCAGAGCGTTTATTGTTGATCTGAATTTTTAAAAAAATATATTGTGTAATGTGCATCAATATCACAACATAAAATCCAACTCACAGAACAGAAGATAAAAGGCTCTGCCAATCTTGCTGTGAAGTATCGACTTGAGATCGAATATTAGCCTGGCCGCTTGTAATGGTTCCAGGGAGTACTTTTTCGGCGAGTGTTCTTATTTCTTCTACTCTCGGCTCTTCCTCTGGTAGACTAAGTTGAAGATTCTAGCAAAAAAAGCAAACAAATTTTAATTTTACAGTATAACATTTCAGAATCGCTAAATACTTTTAATCGGTCCAAATTGGTGTGAAGGGAAACTCTTTCCAGATCAAGATCTCCCCATAGTAGAACAGTATTATGCGTTGCTTCTATCCATTCCTGAAGATCCATGACTGCTTTACAGTACTCTTGATGGCAGTTTACAATTGCTTCATATTGCTCAACAAAATCCTAAAATTTTTCATACAACTTAATAAAATTATTAATAGATAAAAAATAATATTTACCTGAGCTTTGCCTAATATCTTTGCATGTTTTTTTGTTATATCAGCAAGAATGTTTTCAATATGATCTCCTTTTTCTGGAAGTGATTCTATTTTGTGTTTTAGCTTAACTATATCTTGCTGATGAGATATAGCATCTTGCAAGACGGCCCTAAATGAGAAAATGTAATTCTCATTATTATTCTGGCTTGTCTAACTTGAAATATTAAATACCTGTAAGATTGCAATTGAGTCCGCTTCTCATCTAGAGTAGCTTTAAGCTCTATTTCCTTCGGAAGTTGTGATTCTATATCAGCAAGCCACTTCTGCAAGTTTTCACAAATTTCTTCAAAGCCGCTCCAGCTAGAAATTTTAAAAACATAAATTAATCTTATAAACGATGCAAAATATTGAATTGTGTACCTAGTAATTTTTGATTGTAATTGTCTTTCGATGTTAATTGCTCCGTCAAATATTGAATCAAAGAGAGCCTGAAGTTCTTCGACTTGTTCTCTAATCTGTTCTCTTCCTTCAAGAGCAGTCGATGTATATACCTTATCTGCTAGGTCATGTGTCGCGTTCAGTGCGACGCTTCCTTGAGGTTTCAACGCGACTAAATTCTTCACTTGTGAGCTCAGGGCCAAAAGTTTGTCCTGTTGAATATGGACAGCGACTTCTTTGTTGATTTCATCGAGCTCTTCTTTCCTGCTGTTAAGCCAGTTCAATGTTTCTTTGTACTTCTGGCTATAAGCTTCATGATCATTCACGGCTTGTTCACATTTTTTCACGATTTCCTTTAAAAATAAAACATTATAGAAGAGAAACGCTTATATGAGTTTAGTAAATATTGCATTTACCTTGCACGTTGACAGTATGGCTTGGAATCTGGAAGTTATTTGTTGACTATTCATTGATAATCTTTGTTCTCCAGGGAGATCACCAAATTCATTTGAGGTATTCAATTTATCAAGATCATCTTGACTTTTTGAACTCAAAAGAAGTGACTGTAATCAATTTAATTAATTAGTTTGATAAATTATAATACTAGTAATATATAAAATTACCTGTTCTAAATGATCAGCCAATGTTACTACTTCTCCCAACTCCCTAGATCGTGATTCAATGACCATGAGCAATTCCTAATTTATACAAATTTAATTAATAACAAAGCTACAAAATTATAATAATAAAATTGACTTATACTTGGTATTTGGATAATTGAGCCTGTTTTTCAGGAAGTGTTACATGCAATGAATAATTTTTTAGGGCAATTTCAGCCTCATCCATCCATCCTAAAATCTGATCGACTAAATTCTGATATTGTGACCATGAACTTATTCTGCTTTCTAACTCTTGTGCTGCATCAGTGAAGCCAAGTTTCAACTTGTCAAAATCAAATCTAAAATACATGTTAAATAATGTGACAGTCGAAACAAAATAATTTTCACATTAAAGTTTTCTGTAATCGTACCTCAAGTTGGTGATATCTCTTTCCATGGCTTCCTTCGCTCTTTGTGGAATTTTGGATTTGTTTTGATTTACATGATCTTCAAGGCCTTTCAGTTGAATATTTCCTTCAGTCAAGCTTTCTTTTGTTTCCGTAATTTTATTCAACCTTGCTTGCAAGATGGCTTTGTTGCCACTGAAATCTGTGAAAGTGACAAGCCTGTCTTTTATCTGCTGTTGGAAGTCAAGATGCGCTTTTTGTAGGTCGTTGAACAATTGTACGACATCAAGGAATTCTTCCACTTGTGCGATCGTTTTAAACAAATGGTCGACCAGGGCCTCGTATCGCGGACTCATTGTCGTTACAGAATTTGGAACTGGTTTTCCAGAGAGACGAGAGACTGCGTCAGCTTTTTCTATCACATTTTCAATTATTCGTTTATGAGAAAGAACTTCTTGAAGTAAAGCCTTTTGTTTTAACAACTTTGATCGAATATCGTGTGGGGACGTTAAGGCGGAGAATGCATCTTGTTTGATTGTTTTCTCCATCTGATCCAACCAAGCTAGTGTCTGGGTCAGTGATTCTTGGTAGCTATTCCACTGTATTGAATGAGCGTCAACAAGTTTCTGCTGAGCTTTAATACCTTCTTCGAGAGTGTCCCATCTGAAATTCAATCAAGTATTGAAATAAAACTGTGTAAACTATTTCAAAATACATTGACAAACCTGTTTCTAATGTCTCTGATTTGTTGTCTTATGATCTCTCTTCCAGGACCCGCTGTATCTGGATAAAGCTTATCTGCTGATCCGCAGAGGTTGTTTAATTTTGGAAGCGCTTGTTCAAGTTCAGACGCTAATGTCTGCAAAATCGTTGACTTTGTTCCAAAACCTGTTTTATCTGTTTCAAGTTGTTTTAGTTTCTGTTCAAGAGGTTCTAGCAAAGCGGATGTTTCATCATAACGGGCATTGAACAGCTTGTGATCATCAACCAAACTCTGCCATCGATTGATTACTTCCTTACTCAGAACATGTAAAAGTTGATATCTAAAACAAAAATTAAATTATTATGACAATTGAAATTATTAAATTGTTTTTTAAATACCTGTTGCTGATTTGAGAAATCAGCGGTTTTATGCGGTCAACACTTGTAATTAGCAGGAGGGCATGTGATTCATCAACAAATTGATCAATCTCTACTTCTTTCTTTGTGATTTCCTCTCTTTTCTGCTTGTATGTGTTCAAATGGGCTGTTTTATCATCCAAACTTGCCTTCAATTGCTGATCTTTAAAGGCAGCTTCTGTCACTCGGAACCATTTTGTGTGAACATCCAATTCTTCTTCGAATTTAGCCCATTGATTAAGGGTTTTTTCAAGTTTTTGTTTTACAGAATCTAAAATAATAATTGAATTTGTATTGTATAATTTATCATATTATATTTATAATTATTGGTGTATTTACCAAGAGACTCCTTTAACTTGGCAGTATCATTTTCGAGTTTATTTTTTTCTTTGTCTATGAGTGCATTTCCTTTTTTGGTTGTGTTCTTTTTAACAATATTCGCCAGAGCTTTTAGCTCCTCATTTTTGTTCTGACCATCATCCAGTTTCTCTTTAAGCTTCTATAAGCCAAGAAACAATGTCAATTAGATATGTCAGAATTTAACTAAATTATTGATTAAATATCAAACCTCCAGTTTCTCCAATCTTTTGTGGATGTCGGCTTTTTCTCCATTGCAGTCATCGCATGAATTGAGGGCCTCGCGTTGGCACACAAGCCATTCTCGCATATCTTTGCACTTGTTTGTAAGATTAGCATGATTTTCCACGTTGTTTTCCAGAGTTACCAACAAATCCTAGGCAAAAATAAAATTTTTCACTAGTGACTATTATTTAATATAAACTTGTCTTAAATTACCTTTGACTTAGAAACAATATTGTCAAAACAGTCTTTTATCGATTGTAAATATACATTCGGAGAAGTGTCTTGAGTTTGATCAACTAAACTTTGTGCCTTGTCACAAACAGACGCCACTAATGCTTGATTTCCTAATATCTCTTGGTGCATTATTTTATGATTCTAGAAACAAAACAATTGAAATTACATATAAATTAATGTTGATGGTCTGTGAGTTGGTGAAAACATGTTAACTAGCAAAACATATTTCAGCTTTGTGCCATCTTCAATGAGGCGAGAATGAGTTCCGAAGCCGAAAAACATTTGAGCAACACCAAAAACCCACAAGTGTAGACAAACACAGTAAGTGACCCAGTTTAACAATATAAATTCATATACATAAGAATTATAAATTACCTGGAGTTGAGCTTTTTTCTCTTGGAGTGTAGCCTTCAATTCAATATGTGCTTGCATTGCTTTTTCAACGTCTTTCAGCCATTTTGTGAGCTGTTCTTGGGAAAGTAAGAATTCGGCAAACTGAACCAAGCATTGCTCTAATTTTTGCGTGCATTCTTGTAGATTGTCGTTGGTTGTGTCCCATAAGTTTCTCATATCCCTGATCACACCAATCAATCAATTTCATAAAAAAATCTCATAATATGCATTCAAACAAATTACCTCAGTTGCTGACGAATTATTTCCCTTCCATCGGGAGAAGTGTGAACATAAAGCTTTTCACCCTCCACAAGAAGTGTTTCATATATTCCACTTTCTTTAGCAATTGCATCACTGAGGTCTCTGAGTCGTTTTTGCTTTTCCTTCAGAAATGAAGTATTTTTTAAAATTTCCAATTTATTTAAATAAAAGAAATAAAGAAACCTAAGGCCTTACTTGCAATGCATTTTGATCTCCTACTATTTCATTGTGATTTTTCAGCTCTTCTTCATTCGATTTGAGTAATGTCATAAAGTCATTATATTTTTTATCAAATAAAGCATGTTCTGATGCATAGTGTTCATAGCGAGAAAGCATCTCCTAAAATAACATTAGTTGGTTTACATTATGACAAATTTAATAAAAAAGTCAAAAACTTACTTTCGATTGATTTTTCAATGCTTGATAATGTGACGACAGCTTTGATACTTTTTCAGCTAATTCAGTTTCAGCGTCAACTGATGCTGATACTAGGGCAGCAATGTCATCTCCCTTTCCACGTATTTCTTCATCATGAACTTTCAGCTTTTGCAAGTGATCTTCCTTGGCTTTGTGTGTACTCTTTAGACTCTGATCTTTGACTTGAGCCTCTTTCACTTTAAGCCAACTAGCGACCGTATCGATGTCAGATGTCAATTTAACCCACTTGTTTGACATTTGCTGAAGTTTCGCGACATTTGTATTACAGCGGTTCAGAAAATTTTTCCACGCTTCTTTATGCTCTTCTAATTCACCATTTATAGCAGCGTGACCGGATTTTTCAGTGCCTTCTAATAGAGGTAGTTTCAATTGTTCACACCTGTCAACACGTTTTGCCCCTTCATCTTCATGAAGGAGCAAATTTTCTATTATGGACAGTTTCGCTTCATTTCCATCTTTATCAGACATGGCTTCCTCGCTAATTAACGTTCTCAAGAAATCTCTCGATTTCTCTAATGCGTTTAAAAATGATTCATGATCATCAACAAATTTTTCAAATGTTGCGACTCTACTGTTCGCTTTGGTCGTCAATTCTTGATTCTTTAGTAGAATTTCATCTAGTTTATGTGTAGCATCAGGATCTGCAAATGCCTGCAATTTTTCATTTAGTTGTTTGAATATCGCTTGATGCGAATTAATGTCTTGAGCAATCGCTCTATAATGGTGCAGACTAAGCTTTTTATCTTGTAATGTCGCTTCTAGTTGAGTGCCTTCATCCAATTTCTTTTCAGTTTCAATTATCCATTGAACGACTTGGCTAAAGCAATCTTCGAATGAGTTTCTTCTTAGAATCGCACTTTCAATAACTTTTGAAATAGCGTTTGATTTGTCGATGAGAGATTCAATAAGATCTCGTAAATGTCTTAACCGGGCTCTAATGACTTCTCTATTTTCTGGGGTTATTTCTGCAAAAAGAGACTCGCCAGACTCAACAGCTTTATTTATCAAGCCTTGCCCTACTTCTCTAGAGTCATTGAATTCTTTTAATTCGGTCAACAAAGGCTTGTACTTTTGCAATGGAATTTTTCTAGGTTCTTTAATGGTTTCACTAAAATTATCCAACGTCTTTGTAGCATCTTTAATCCATTGCTCTGCAGTTTGAGCTTCATTTTTGTACTTTTCCTCATTCTGTTTTATTTGTTTCAAACGGTCTATGTAAAATAAAACTAATTTTTCAATTGTTTGATACTTGCCGTGTAACGATGTCATGTTATGACTAATTCTTGAACTTTCCTCATTGCTCATAAGTTTGTTACCTACCACCTCAAGTTCTTCTAATTGAGGCTGTACTTTATAAAGATTTTCTTTGATTGCATCAAGGTTGACGAGCTTTTTATCAATCGTGCTCAAGTCCGTGTGAGTTGATATTTCAGCTCTAGCCTTGCCCTCGATGTCTTTAAGATTTGATGATATGTTTTCATAGTTAGTGTCAAACTGCTGCCATAAGGCGATCAGTTCAGCTAACTGGGAAGCACAGTTTGTATGTGTAACATTTAAAGCATCAAGTTCGTCAAAGACTGACTTTTGATCAGCCATTAATTTCTCTTCTTCATCACCACAGCCAAGGTCAATTAACATTTCAAGAGAATCTTTCAGAAGTTTTTTACTACCCTCACACTCTTTTAAGCCTTTGTATGTGTCAGCCAAAGTTGATGCTTTTGTTTCCAGGCTATTTTTGTCATTGTCAGTCTCTGGAAGGCACCAGGCGATTTTTTCTTTGAAATTTGCAACTGACCTCTGAAGTGAGGATAATTTTTCATTGTGATATTTGTACAAATAGGATAACAAATTTGCATCAACTTTGTTAGCCTGGTTAAGAACATCTGAATGTCTCTTTTTAAGACTGTTGATTTCTTTACCCATTCCTGACTGCGAGCTTCCTGGAAATTTTTCAACCAAATCATTGTAATCTTTATCAATATTGGAAAAGTTCAATTGGTTCAGTTTATCTTTTAGGGTTCTGCATGATTTTAACCTTTCAAATATAACTGCATTTTCTCCTGAGAGATTGTCACATTTGATTACTTTTTCCCTAATCTTTCCAATCTCATCGTTTGATGATTTTATTCTATTTCTTAAGTTAGTTTCAACATCACTAAATGAATGTAACATGCTGGCAAGCTTGTCTGCTGAATTTTGAAGTTCTGCAAATTGATCGTCTATTAGAGTAACCATTGAGTCAAGATTAGGTGTACTTTTACCATCATTCAAAGCATTAAGTTGTTCTACTTTTGCATTAATGCTGGACTGCAATTTCTTATAAATGGGAAGCTCATTGTTAAATTCACTCAATTTTTGAACAACTAATTCAGGCTCACTTAATTTATCCAGTGCTTGATTTAGAGCGAAATTTGTATCGCTAAGCCATCTCATCAAGTCTCCTTTAGCTTCATCAATTTGTTTCCAAATCACTACTTGTGATTCTGCCTGTTGGCTTAAGGCTGCACATTTATCATAACATTCTTTCCAGTCGGAATGCGCTTTATTGTAAGTCTCATTCACGTTTTGATAAACAAAATTAGGGAATGAATGGGCATGTCTTAAAATTATTTGCAATTTGTTGTCCATGGTATCGATATGTTTTTTAGCATCTTTTAGATTGTTCAAAGCCTGTTTGGAAATTTCATGAAATTCCATGGTTGAAGTTGAGTCACAAGGGGATACTCTGTCTTGAATACAAGCTTCAGCTTCGTCAATGCACTCATGCCCTTTGCGATTATTGTCTGAAAAGCTTTTCCATGCTGTTTGCAATTCATCAAAAATAACTTTAAACTCTCCTGCATCGTCATTGACTTTTTCCCAGTTCAGTTCAATAGAGGACAAAATGTTTTGTATGACAACGGTATTCTTTTTATCTTCGGCCATCAATTTTTTACCTTCGTCAAAGAGCAATGCTTTCTGCCCTTCTTGGCTATTGTGCTTTTCTAACACTTGTTGAAGCTTATTGTACAATGGCTCTAATTGATCACAATCTGTGAAATTTATCACTATGTCTTGTACATCATTCTGTGCTTTAAGAATACTGTTAGAAAGATCGTCTTGCAACTGCTGAAATTTATTCCACTGCTCCCCTATCTGTGCTTTTGCTGCTTTCTTCTCTAACAACATCGCCCTGAAAATAAATGCAAAAAATATTTATAATTTTCAGCAAATTACTGTGACATTTTCTAAATCTACAAATAAATTTACGTTCTGATTTTTTTATTATTAATAACAATGTTCACCCCCGTAAAAAAATGTACTAATTTTTATGATCGCCCATTAACCCTTATTTTAATAATTGATTATATTTTACTTGATTTTCTGTGCTCTTGCATCTAATTCTTGTATTATTGGAAGTGCTGATGATTGTGTCAACTGGATGCCACTTTCATGGCACAAGTGTTCTACTACTGGGCATGTGCTCCCCCAAGCCTTTATCTCTTCTTCAATCCTTCCGAGCCTTGCCTCAATATCTTCAAGAGGGTGGTTACTTTCCAGTTGGTATTCTAAATGGGCAAGCTGATCGTTGCAACCCTGGGACCAGTCCATGAGTTCTCTCCACTTTTCGACCGCCTGCTGTTTCTGTTTGACATTTGCGGCCAAATCCTAAACAGCAAGACAGTTATTTTAATTTTTAGAAGCATGTTTAAAAAAAAAGAATTATTACTTGATATTTAGCAAGCAAGGGATTAAAAACTGTAGACATTTTTTCAGCCTGTAAAGGCGCTGACTTTTTAGCCTGAACGACTTGTTCTTCTATTTCTGCTATAACTGGCTTCTTTTCACTATGCTCATGCAGTGCAATGTGAAAAGCTTGTAAGGCATTATCAACATTATCAGGATTAACATCTTGTTTTATGAGGTTTTCAGTTTCATTCAACCAGGTAGACAGTGCAACAACCTGAGAATTCAGGTCCTCCCTGTTGCAAAAATATAATTAGTTTCACCTTATAAAGCTCACATATACTTTTAACATAAGATCCAAATGATAACATTATGCTTTAATATTAATGTTATAAACTTTTAATTTTAAGGAAAATAAAAAAATAATTTTACCTTGAAATCAACATTTCAGATATGAGATTTGCTCTATGTTTAATAGCATCTGATGCTCTTGTAGCTGCTGCTTTCAGCTCTGCAACTTTTCCTTTTAGTAAGTTTGCACCTTCAAGTGTAAGGCTTGATGCAATGACATCAGCAGAATGTCCTAGTTCGGCAATATTATCCTGAGTTTTGTTCAGCTCTTGCTTTAGAACCTAAAATTACAAATTCTTGAAATTCCATTCTCAGAGTCTGGAGTGTCACAAAACAGAAATTCACCTTCAGTTGTTCCATCTGAGCTTCTAAGTCCTTGTCATCAAATCCACTAGGATTGGCGACGATTTCTTGTAAGACTGGTCTTTCCAGCCATTCTTTGACTTGTTGCGCTGTCCCTTCAAGCTCTTGCCAAGCAAGTACGAGCTTTTCTAGCTTGTGAGCCCTTTGTCTCATTGCAGCATCAAGATTCGTCCACTTAGAATGCATGGTATCAACTGAATTAACAGCGAGTGTCTCAGGTGGTAAACCTTCACTCAATTTTTTAAGTTTGTTCAACTTTTCTTTTGTTTTCTCACTTTCATTAAGGTGATCCTGAAATTATTTTTTATATTTAATTGAATTTTTTATTGGGGGGGGGGGGCATTACCTGAGCTTTTTGTAATTGGGCTTTAGCATCAGACAACACGACTGGTTTTGCCATACCCATTGATGTTTCCACTTCTAATTTTTCAATCCAGGGTTTGACCGATTGCATATATTCGTCAAATTCATGCAAAGTCGCTACACCTTTTTCAAGAGCAACATTTTCATTTTTGATAGCCTGTTCCGTAGCTAAAACTGAATCTTCGATTGCTTTAAACCTTTTCAGGTAATCTTGTTTCACATTGTCATCTTTATCTGGAAAATGATCACAATAATTTACAGATACCAGTTAGATAAGTTAAAAATTACCTTTGAAAAGAATTTCTGCTTTTTGTCTCAATTGACCAAGATCAACTTTCTTTGCTGATGCTTCATTTGCGATTACTTGTGATTTTTCAAGCCTTTCTTGTGGCACTTGAATTTTTGACAGTTGTGCTACTTTTTTAGGTATTTTTTCAACTGCCCAAACCTTCAATTCTTTTAGACCGGTATCCAATTCATTCCAGGAGTCTGCCTCTTTTTGTAATAGAACAACTTTCTGTTCTACAACACTTAGAGTCCCGGCTAATTTGTTTTCTAAATCTTTTACCTAAAACATCAATGTTTCATTTAGTTATTAACAAGATAAATGTTGTTATTTGTCTTTACCTCAGTAACAATTGCATGCTGGGCTTCTGGAAGTGCTTCTGCAATCTTTTGACAATAAAATTGTAACTTGCTTAAGATGTCTTCAGCTGCCATTCTAAGAGCTATGCACAGTTCTTGCTTGCTTTTGAGCTCTGCGGCTAACTTTTCACCGCCAAATCCACTGGTGATTTGTTTCAGCTCCTTTTCTGCTCTTTCAAGAAGCAATTGAACCTCAGATTTTCCTTCATTGTACAAATCCCATGTTTTTTGTACTCCTTTCAGGGAGTTGAGCTTCTCGAGTGAAGTATTGTAAGCTTTATTCCACTGAGTCTCTAGTTCTACTACTTGTTTTTTCACAAATTCAGGTGCAGCTGGTTCTTTACCGAGGTCTCGGCCTTTCTGCAGCATACTCACTATGTTCGGCCGTTGCTGATCTAACTGAGCTACAGCACCTTTCTGAGTTTCAACCATGTTCGCAACACTTTCTCGACTATTTGCATCAACCGTGCCCCTTCCGCAAACCATTTTGTCAAGAAGTTTACAAACCTAAAGTACAAATATTAATAATCTAAAATTTACTAACATTTATAATTAACTCACCTCATCGACATCTTTTTTATAGGAATAACATCTTGAATATAGTTCCGTCTTTGTTATTGTCATTTCAATTACAGGTATCAATTTTTTGTACCTAAATCAACATAATTAGTTTTCTAATTTTCTTATTGGTGGTGGTATCATAATATATTAAAATACCTGAGCAATAGTTTGTCTAATTTTTCATGTTCTTCGCTGGAATCACTCATTGGGGCCAACATGTCTAGTGTTTGAACCATCCACATCATTTCTTCCCGTTTTCCTTCGGCTTCTCTGCATATTCCCTGTAATTGTTTAAATTAGAATAATAAAATTGACTGTTTAAAATTGTTTTCATACTTGGAATATATGTCGTTCTTTTTCAAATTCTTCTGCTGTTGCCAATTCCTTGAGAAGGTTTTTAATGCTGTTGTCAACAGTGTCCATCCACTTTTCTAATTCTGCGAATCTTAATTAAAAATAAATTGTAATTATTTTTCAAGTTATGAATTGAAAAAATAAATGTTATAAATACTTTAGCCTGTATGCTTCCCATTGATCAGGGATTGATTGCAGCTGAATTGCAAATTCTTGAGCTTTTTTGTGAAATGCGTTCCAATCTTCCCATGATGATGTAGTAGTTTCTTTTAGCTGGGCTTCTTCAACAGGCCAAGCCGAACAACTTACTGTCGCTCTTTCCATATTAGTGAGACATTTTTTAATTTCACCGATCAACGGGCTGGCCAATAACTCCTACAACGTAAACATAAATGAGCATTTTATAGTTTTTTGTGTCTGGTGAATGTTGAATGATATTTTAATTACGCTATGCCGTTTCTGTAAAGTGTTGATGTTTTCATTTCTGTGGAAAGCTTGAATTTGAGAATTAAGCTCTTTGTCAAGATCCTTTAGGTATTTCTTCATGCTTCTTTCGTCAAGTCTGAATTCAAGTTTGACAAGGTGAAGCGGAGCTAGACACAGGATTTTCTGAAATTCAGTTATTATGAGAAAATAATTTTTTTTCAATAACTTTCAGTAATTTTAAAACATACCTTCCATTGTTCTTCTAATTTTGTTGCATTATCTAAGATACTTTTATGCTGTTCAGGTGGTACAACAACCAACAAATCTTGAACAACGTTGTGCAAATCTTGCATCCACCTTTCATTGACATGTTCAAAAAAGCTCTAATAATAAATAAAAAATAAAAAGTTAATCTTTTATAAAATTAGTATTTTTTTAAAAAGAAAGTTTAAAATAACTAGTACCTTATGGTTGTCAACAGTGTGACCAGAATCAACATGCTTTTCATTCATTAACTTTTCTGCAACTTGAAGCCATTCTTTAATAACGCGTTCTACCTCATGGTAATTTTGCCAGCGTCTTATAGCATCCGTCAATTTCTAAAAATAAATGTGTAAAAACAATTGTTTTAAAATTAAAATGAGTATTTTGTTCAGGTACCTGTTGCCAGTCGTCTGCAGTGTGACTGACTCTGTTGAATCTTTGGTTCAGGTCATTCATCTTCTTTTCAAACTCTCTTGTATCAACACCTGGAGTATTTTTTAGCGATGAAAGTAAAGAGGCGAGGCACATGTTTTTACTCTCTAACATGGATTTGTAAAAGAGCCGCCTTTGAAAGAATCCTTTATGCCTATCCAGATTCGTTTGTAACGTCTCTTTATTACCGGCCATGCTCAAAGTTCCCATAAAAGCTTCGGCTTCATTTAACCACGAGCCTATCTCTTTTTGTGATTCTTCTAATGATTTTTGTTGGACAATGACATGTGAAAGAAGCTGAAGTTGTGCGCTGAGCCCAGCTCTCAGTTTAACAATCCGTTCTATAAAAACAACAAAATAGTAAAAAGTTGTGTTAACATAATTATGTTTTTTGTGGTTTGCAAAGTACCTTTTTCTTTTTTCAAAGTGCTCATCATTTTGTCAACATCGTCTCTTGATAAATCGGGTATGAGAGTCTGAAACTTTTTGCTTATTGCTTTAAAGAGTTCTTCAACGTCACTGATTTCTGCTTGAATTTGCTAAAAAATTGTATAAACAATTAGATTCTTTAACAACTATATTTATTGTTATTTCTACCTGTAGCACTTTAATATGTGCACTGATTTTATCGGAATTGTCAAGATAACAATTTTCCAAGCTTGCTTCTGCATTTTTAAGCCAAGTTTGAAGTTTTTCTATGCACAGTTTGTATTCTTTTTTCTTTCTCAATGTATCACCAGCTTCCATGTATTGTTTTACATTCTAAAATAATTAATCTTGTTAAATGTTTTTATGTTGGTCATAACTATATTTTACTTACGCCAAACAGGCGTTCCCATCTAGCAGTTATCGCTAAATATTTTTCTTTCAACTGAGCTGCAATTTGGTCCTCAGATGTAGCAACGAGGAAATTTAGTGTTTCTCCTAGCATCTGATGTTTATCTTTCCACACTCCTATATCCTATTGTTTCCACAAAAAATACGCATTACAGTTGTACATTGTAATAAAAAAACGTTTTTATTGCAAAAATATATACTTGAAAATATTCCATTCTTTCTTCCTCGTCACAGAGTAATTTTGGTTCGGACATGATGATGTATTCTTCTAATTCGTGAGTCAGTGTGTGCCATTTTCCCCAGCACGCTAACAGTTCTTCAAGCATGCTCTGGATACACCTTAATTCCAAGCAGACACTCTTCCATCTTTCTGATGTATCTCTCATAAATCGATCAGCGGCTAAACTTTCTTTAGCATCTTAAAAAAACAAAAAAGAATAATAAGAACAAAACGAAATAATTTCCTTTGTATATACATACCTATGTTTCCATCTCTTTTGTATTCTTCAATTACATGCTGCATGTCAATAAATGCCTTGTTGAACTCCTGGAATATTTTGTTTCTTGAAACAAAATTGTTGTATTGGTCGAGAAGCTGTTGAACTCTTTGTTCGTTTCCGTATTTAATTGTCCAGGATCTTACTTTGTTCTCCGTTAATTCCATAAAAGCAATAAGGCAACACTGGAATATACATTTAAAAAAAAATTATAAAATTGTATCACATTTAACTCTCATGGTAATTACCCGGTGCTCTAGGAATTTAAGCCTGATTCTTTTCTGTACCGCAGCCGGCCCGATTTTACTCAATCTCTTCCCCATAAACTCAATTTGCTGTGCTATATGAGGTGGATATGCACTATGAGCTAGTGCGGAATTGTATTGAGCTTCAACTTTGGGGAGGTCGGCGAAGAAAGCCTGTAAAATAAACGTTGAAAGATCACAATGAAAATAAACCTTACAAAAACTGACCTTGTGGTCTTCAAGCTTTCGACTAATTATACTGGCAGTTTCTTCATTCATAATTGTTGGAATGTCTTCATCTTCGAGCATGTTTTCAGCCCTGTACAACCATTCTCCGATCTGGCCGAAAGGAGGCATCAATTTTGAGTCCAAAAGATGAAGCCAGTATCTCATCTATAAAATAATTTTTAAATTATTAGAACTATAAATGATAAAATATGTTTGAATTAAAAACCCTTTTACACAAAAATTAAAATTTATCTTTAAATGTAATATATCTTTAATACCTGTGCTCTTAGTTGTTTCCAAAGTACATCTATTTCTCTCCAAGATTCCCATGCGATATTAATGCTGCTTTTTGAGTCAACAAGTTTTGATAGCTTGTTATAGATAGCTGATTTTGCTTTAACTTCATTTTCAAATTTCAAATACTCCTGTAACCAAATATACTTAGGTTTTTTTTTTTTAAATTTTAGTTCTACGGGATTTACCTCAAACACCAAAGGCAAGTTGTTGACATTTGAGAGAGAATGAGTTGCTTCAAGAAGCCATGCTCTGAGTTCCTTATAATCGGCTTCGATGCAGCTCAACCTGTCGCCGCTGTCACTGCTCAGTTCGGGATATTTATAAAGGAATTGTGACACGTAAGTCATTACGCATTTTTCATCTGGTCTTTCAACGTCAAGATCCTATCGAACAGACACATACTTTAGTTTATAAATGGAGATAAAGTTAACTCTTGAAAGCTTTACCTCAGGATCTAAGAGTTTTGCAATGTCAAGTTCTTGTTCAGCAACGTTGAATGCAGTTTGCAGCCTGTCTCTGTTTGTCGCTCCTCTGAGGGCTGACAAATCGATTAAACCTTTCTTAATTGCGTCGATAATAGCTAAGAACGCAAATCCATCTCTCCAGCTTGGTCCAAAGTCTTTAACCTCTAGTCCAATATCTCTACAAGGTTTTAACGAAACACATTAAATATATAATTTTATGTATTGGTTAAAATAAAATTATTTACTTTGGAAGAGCTTTTGTAACCCATTTCAACAAAACAGCCTTAGTTGTATCTGCCTTCTTCTTTCTTTCTGTCATATCTGGTGTCCTTGATCCTTCAAGACTTGATGTGCTACCTCCAAAGTGATCCAATGAGGCAAGAACACGTGTCTTTTCTTCTATCTAAAATTTCAATTTAAAAAAGTAATTATAAGTTTATGCGAGGTAGAAACGATCGAGTGTATCATTGTTATTAGCGATACACAAAGTGATAACAAATAGTCACAAAACGTTTGCAAAGCCAAGCTTTGTGTTACTCATCTCTAAAAAAACCGGGTGATTATTAGGAAAAATATATTAATGAAATAAATTAACAGACAATTTTTTATGCATAACAAACACAAAAACAAAACAGAACAACTGACATTTTTTTAAGCAGGGTGTAATATATGTTTTAATTTTTTAAGACAATTTGCTGTAAATTTGAACATCAATGTTATTTATTTATTTTAATACAATAGCAAACTTTTCATTTCAAAAAATTTTGTGCTTAAAAACTGTAATATATACAAAATAAAACAAAAATAAATCTATTAGGTGAATATTAAACACTTAAAATAAACGTTAAATATCTGAGGAGAAAAGGGGGCTCCATTTGTTTGATAAATAAAGAATAAAATAAAATAAGAAATAATATGAAACAAAATACTGAAATAAAAAGCCATTGAATAACAAATAACATAAAATACAAAATGCTAGCTCATAGTATTACATACATTTAACACACACACATGCCATAGTAGAAAATATATACTATTATGAACAATGCACAGACATTCACATATATATTTTTGTCACACATGCTGATTTTGAGAATTGAATTGATAAACTAACAATTTTCTAATGGAAGCTTTTAACCAGCAATTTTCGACATTAATAATCTTGCAGTGATGTACAACCAGATAGTTTAAAATGTTTTATTTTATTATAATTAATTAAGGTTTTTAGTTGAGATAAAAAAGTCAATGGCACAAGCGGGATTCGAACCCACGATCTTCGGCTTGATACGCCGCTGCTCTACCACTTGAGCTATCGTGACCTCGATCCACACTTTTTATCTCAACTAAAAACCTTAATTAATTATAATATATTAATTGGTCAAACAGACCACGAAATGAGTGAATTTAGTGAGTTTTATTTTATGATTTGTTTATTTTTTAATAGTTTGTTTCTTTTTTAATTGGGTACTTTTGAAGCAATTGATATTATAAATCAATTTACAATCAAATATGTGAAAAATCAAATAATCGAACATTACTTTGACATTTTACATTTTAAAAAAATCACCTGGTTATACATTTATTTGTTGTTTTTTTGTCATTAAATTGTGAACTTTTTTATTTTGATATGCAACATTCATAAAATGCAGCTTCCAATTACATATAAATAAAAAGAAAATATGAAAATGGATATGAAATAAATGTCCACTCACCACCAATAAATGTGGCTCCTGTTTTAGAAGCTTTAAACACATTTTTTTAACATTAGGATTTTTTTCATCGGCATGATCGATTATTAGTTAGCGGATAATGTGAAATGATGAGGAGAATGGAGATTTGTTTTATTTTTTTTTTCTCTTTAGGCTTGGATGATTTTTAAATACCAAAACCGTCAGAAGTTTTACACTGAAGCGAGACTGCACATTGATATATATTAAAGTTTTGTTTTTTACCAAAGGTTTCCTAATAAGGCTTTTGGACATAATTTGAAAAAATTCAACAGGCCGACCGTAGATGGTGGCAAAAGGGAGTCCCCTTTTCTCCTCAATAGACATAGCCACGTTCCCAAAACACATGCAAGTTGTATCATTAATTTCCACAAGAAAATTTTTCCAAGCCTGTAAATGTAAATACTTAGTCTAGCCTTTTGTTTAAACATATTTCCAATTTTGTTATGACATTTTTTCTTTTTATTAGCTTGGTTTTAATGTTTTGTTAAAAATTAAATGTTCTATGAATGACTGTTAAAGATGTGTTGAAAACATTAATTATTTCAAAACATTGGCAATTCAAAATGGCTAATTATGCAAAAAATATATACAACAAAAATATTTTCAATGCACAATTCAATTAGAATAAACGAGAAAAATCAATATGCCAAATTGAACAAAAAAGGAACAAACCTGGAAGTACAATATAATTGTCCATATAAGGCCGAGAACGACGGGTGGCCTTCCATCGACCAAATCAGTTGCATTGATGTTGACCAACTTGATCTACAAAATAAATAATTTGCATGTTAAATTCTTGAATTAAAGCTGTACTAGACTAAAAAATAAGCGGGGTCCATGGCGGCAGTGTGGCCAGGGTGTCAGACTCATATTTGCTCAATTAGTAGTTCTGGGTTCAAATCTCAGCTCACCCCATGGAATTTTAGTTAGTAATAATATCTATATCCCTTATCTGTGATACCCAATCGGTTGTTCAATATTAAGCCCTCCCGTACGACAAGAATTAGTTTATTTTTATTAAAAAAATAAATATATTCATTAAAAAATCTATTTTAATATTATCTGCATCTGATGGGTGAATCAAACAAATAATTTTAGAAAAAATGCTAATAATTGAAATTTTTATGAGAGTAATCATACTATAAACCAAATGGCCCAAAAATTCAAATAAAAAAAAAATAAATAAATAAAACTGGTCCAGATAACATCAGTCTTTTTGAAGTTTATTTATTTTTAATATTTTAAACTTGATGCCTAATAGCTTGGTTCGGTTTGTTTATTTCAATCTGCCTATTTTTTGCTGGTTTTTAAGCATTTGTAAGACAAGACCAGCAAGAATAGGCCAAACTAGGACAATCTAAGATGGCCAAATGAATACATCATACATATCAACATAACATTGCACACTACATATTTATGTTTATTATGAGTATCGTCATACTTACTCGTTTACTCTCGAGAAATTTTAATGCAGTATCAGCATTGCTCAAGAAGTGGGGTCTTTTCAAATTTCTGCTTTTTTCAGTCTTCTGCAAAACAGATGCAAAATTTCGTTAATTTTATTCATTAAGTAAAGCATTTCCATATATTTACCAGTTTTTCTCCAGAGAGCACTTCAAGAAGTGCGAGCAATTTCGTTCCATCCTTGAGGTCTTCTATCAGGTCGTTAATGTAAATGGGTGGTTTTCGCTATAATTAAAACAGTTTTTAAAATTTAATAGATAATGAAAAATGATTGAAATTACATCATCTTAAATTATTTCTTTGGGTTTGAAACAAAATAAATTTATTTATCCATGGGCATTGGTGTTGTTTTTCCTCCTAGTATTTTTCCTCTTTATTAAAATGCATTAATTTTAATAAAGAGAAAAAAAACTAGAGTTCTTCAATGTCCATGGATGAATAGAAACTAGTAAGGAAAAGAAACCTAGAATAAATTTATTTAGGCGTCTCACCTCTTGGAGATAAGAGTTGATCCATTTGACAAAAGTCTTCTTCTGAACTCTCTCCTGTTCATCTGCAATGAAATAAAATGGGTTAGATTTTAATTTAATAAGAACAATTTGAAAACCTGCAGTGTTCATTTTTTATGAATTTCTTACACAAAAAGTCAACTAGAACTATTGGCTATTATAACCAATGAGCTGTTCTTCTTGCAAATTTTCCAAGCTGAATAGGTTTTAAGGACCATTTCTATTCCAGGAATATACCTCCAATGGGTGCTTTTTTATTGGAGATCTTAATAAACAATTTTACAACTAGAATTTGTTTATGTTTTTAATAGAAATTTGAATTATTCTTATTATTAAATGTTTAATTAACCAAATTGGTTCATTTGTTCTTGGTTTAATTCAATGATTATACAAAATTTGTTATAATTTACGTTAGCAAAGTAGTTATTTTATTTTGTAATAACACGCTCAGGCTTAAAATTTTGAAATCAACATTTTAAAATGTCCGATTCATGAGAAAGTGACAATTAAGTCTTAGCCAATAAAATTTTTGTTCACAGTGACTAAGCAGATTGTTTGGAAGGTCGAAACAGCCTTTTATTTCTCTAATCCTGGGAATGTATTCCTGAATAAGTCCTTATAAAAAGGAAGAATGTGGGAACCTGATGATATAGGAAATTTTAAATTTATTGACTATTATTAAGTAAACTGAACTTAATCCATAAATCAAAACTCAAGGCTTGTAAGACACTTAAAGTATAACTAATAATATATACAGAATGTACAACTAATTGCAGGTTTATTAAGCATGATATTAAATATACCTATTTAATTGCTACCTTTAAAAAATGGGAAAAACTGAGAGACCTGCTGACCATACTAAGCAACAGCACAGGCAAAACTTATGTTACTGCAAAACACTAATCTGGAAATGGTACTCAACTTTGGTACTAATGCCTCACTAAGTAAACAAAGAGGAACCAGAGAAAGTGCTAACTCAAGGGTATGGATGTAAAGAAGGCTCAATTCCACAATATCTTTTTTTTTTTTTTTTTTTTTTTCAGTTTGGAGAGGAATAACGGGAGTCTATTGTCTCCAAAGACCTCAGAAATATATTGGAAAATTAATTATGTTAGATCAAAATTAGTGCAATTGTCATGTTAATTGGAACTTGACATAAAGAACTTTCAAACATCATAGTAAAAAATATTTGATTTCACATCTATAACTGTAAGTATGTAGTTTGGCTTTTTCCTATCATCCTGATCTATCATTGCTGTTTTTGTGTGTAAGTAGGGTTTTGGCATTTTGTTATTTTCACCTCAGTAGTTTGCCTGTTTGTTATTTTGACATTCGTGTCATGTTTGGCCCGACACTTAAGATGGCAAAATACCTAGATGAGTCTTAAGGACAAGAGACAGGTCAAAGTAGTCAAATCAAGGGTTTTGGACTCGAACTAGAAATTTAACAATAACAAAGAACAAACCAAACAAATCAAGTAATTAAAAAAATTGTAATATGCTTAAATTTCATTGTCAAGTCTTATTGGTTAATGAACAAGGTTTTCCCACTGATGTGAAATCTAGAGTTTTCTTTTTAAAAACAGTGATCGTATGGAAATCAAAGTTTGAATGTCAATAAAGCCTTTAGTTCCAACTGTTTTTAGTCTATTTGGGAACACATAATGGAATGAAGTGATGGTGATGAGGATACTAGGGAGCGGAGTTTGTGCTCCCCAGGCACTGCAGCTTTCTGGCTTATTATCCTAGTTCCCTAGTTCAGTGCAATAGACTCAATCCTTCTCAGAAGAATCATTGACTGTCGCTGCTACAGTTTCATTCCCTAGGTTTTTTTCTGCATGTCTGAGCTGTTGCTTCACATTCAAAGATGATATGGGTAGCTGTTTCCTCCTCCTCATTGCATAATCTTTAGCTGGGATCATCATTATATATGCCCATGTTGTAGATGTTTTCTCAGATGCCAGTGACTGGTTAATAGTCCTATGACTCCTCTGAGTCTAGCCCTCTCCAATTGCAGCAGTGCATTTGCCAGTCTTGGTGAGGGTTGTTTCATCATAAGTGTGTCTCGTGCCTCTAGAGTTTATCCACTTCTTGTTTTGTTTTGTTTGGATCCTGATTCTAGTTTTGCTTGTGTTATCCCACGTGTAGGTTCAGGGCCTATGTATGGTCTTGCAGATCCTCCTCTGGCCAGTCTGTCTGCTTTCTCATTACCCAAAATTCCCCTGTGCCCTGGCACCCAAGATATCATCAAATCGTTGTGTTTCCCCAGGTTTTGGAGATTTTGGATGCATCCACTGATTAACTTTGATGTAATTTTTTTTATATGCTAATGCTTTAATAGCGACTTGGCTATCAGATCTTATGAGGATTTTTTTTGCCAGTTAACCTCTTTTAAGATTTTTCTAGGTCATAAGCATTGATGGCATTTATTTCTGCTTGAAAGACCAGTGTTTGATTGCTCATATCTTGGGCTTGTACAAAAAATACCCTATCCAGTTCCTTCGTTCGTTTTGGAGCCATCTGTTGTTGTATCTGATGCTCTCCTGGGCTCTTTTCTTTATAGTTCATTGAGTCTTTATAGGATGTTGTAAAGAATGTTTCTGGGATCATATAGTCAGTCCTCATTTCTAAGAATGGGTGTCTGATTTTGTTAATAATGGTTGTGTGCCCGAATTGTTTAGTTCCTATCCAATTTGTTGTTTTCGGAGTCTAAATGAGCTTTTCCTAGCCTCTCCTTGTATAAAAGTTTCCAGTGGAGGGAGGTTTAGCAGAGTTTCTAGTGCACTTGTAAGAAATGGAGTAAAAAAAACAAACTTTTTCTATTTATTTATGTATAAGATAAGAAAATGCTTTTAATGAAAGTGAAAAGATTTCCAAATAAACTAATATACAGTTGGAACTAAAGGAGTTTTTGATATTCAACCTTTGATAATGACGTTCCAACTCAAAAGTCAACGAACCTCGAAAAAAATCCTATAGAAAGTTCAAACGACAAAATTTATAAAAAAAGTTAGTTTAATTTGAAATTATGGAGATGGTAAATTTGATTAGTTAGTTTTGGAGAAAAAAAATCTTCAGTAGTTGTAGCTGTACAAGTTTTTTGTAATAAAAGATAAGCAAACAGAGACGACTGCAGTATACAATTTATAATTCCTCCTTGTCAAACTTATTTATCAATTGGACAGTCACGAAAGAAAAAATCCCACGAAAGGCCCAAGTTTGTATTGCAATAATGTTAACAAGTGATTTAACCGTTTTTCCCAAGAACTGCATGAAGTTGTGCCTTTCGTGCAAATCCACCACTCGCCGACGCCGCCAGGCCTCAACCCGACCGACGTTCAGATCTCATTTACATGGTGAAAAGTATGTCGGCACTATAAATAGTAGGTATCAACGTCCTCCGGGGACCAACTTGTTGGTTGTTGACAAAACTAAAAGACCGTTTTTATACCATTTGGGAAGTCTACGGTTAAATTGGGCCCGTGTCGACCGTTTATTTATATCTTGGAGATTAAAATAAGGAAAGAAATGACCTAATAATTGCTCTCAGAGTCTGTTTTACAAAATATACTTATTTTTGTAAGATTAATAGTAACATTCTAATTGTTAAATCCTTTTTAAAAAGATAGTTCCTACTCACAGTAAGTTGTTTTGCAAAGACCGGGATTTCGAGCTTTTAGATCATCATCAGGTTGAGGAAGTTCTACAACCTGATGAGCTAAAAGCTCGAAATCCCGGTCTTTGCAAAACAACTTACTGTGAGTAGGCACTATCTTTTTAAAAAGGATTGAACACCGCACTCACTCCATCATTCATCCTTTCTTCTAATTGTTATATTCTTTTGTTTTTTCGAAAATTTTTTGTACATTGTGGTTTTCGTTCTTCCGTAAAAAAACGTGACGTAAAAAAAGTATAAAAAGGGAGACAACTTAGACTGCAAGAATTATAGAGGGATAACCTTGCTCTTGGTGGTATATAAGATACTTTCTATTGCCATCCACAAACGATTTAGTAACGTGGGCGGAAAACATTCTTGGAAAATACCAGCATGGCTTCAGACCGGGAAGATCAACTATCGACCATATAATCTCATAAAGGTGGATCTTAGACAAATCCTTTGAATGGATCTACATCATTTGAGGACTACAGGCAAGCGCACGACAGTGTGAATAGAAAGGAAGCATTAGCAGATAAGGGTACTTGGTGTACCGTGTAAGCCATTTAGGTTAATCGGTATGACGTGGCATAACACGAGCTACCAAGTCAGTGTGCAAAATACACTGTCGGAGAATTTTATAGTAGATCCTGCTGCAAGGATGCTCTATCATGTGTCATCTTCAATTTCTGTTTGGAAAGAGCGGGGCCATTAGACAAAACCCAGGCTACTATTTGTAATAGATTAACTCAACACATGGCATATGCGGACGACGAATTATAGCAAGAACAATGGCGGCACTGGGAGGAGCACTTCAAGAACTGCTAGAAGCTTGCAAGAAGCGCGGCCTGGAAATTAACAAGGATAAAACTAAGTATATGAGCATCTCGAGAACTCATGGATGTGGAGAAGGACCAGTTCAATTTCGAAACCATAGTTTTCCAGTAGTCAGTAATTTCAAATATCTAGGGTCCTTAGTAACAAAGAATAATGATATAACGGAAGAAATACAGGCGAGAATATCGGCAGGAAATAGATGTCTCTTTGAGGTACAAAATGTTCTGCGGTTCATGCACCTATCTCCCAAGGCTAAGGTATAGCTTACAAAGCGATTATAAGGCCAATAGTTATGTACGCTAGCGAAACATGTGTGTTGAGTAAAGAAAGTGAAAAGTTCTAGGGGTATGGGAAAGAAAAGTGCTGAGAAAAAAATCGGGTCCGAAATGTGTAAATGACGAATTAAAACAATTATTTGGCGAGCGGATATAGTTGCCCAAATGAAGAAGGGAAGATTGAGATGGTTGGGTCATGTGGGGAGGATGCCTCAAGGTAACCTTCCAAGGAAACTCCTCTATGGGAAGCTTGGAGGCTCAATAATACGAGGACGCCC